GTGTCTGTAGCAGGGCTGCTGGTGGGAAGTTTGGGTGCATTGCAAGTGCTCTGAATGTGTCCAGTCATGAGCCAGAGAGTTTGGCAAGGCTTATCTCATCCAGTGGTCTCTTCCTAGCAGAGGCCAGCACCAAATAAGTTCAGTGAGGGGGCAAAGACAGTTGGATCACGCCCCAAAACTTTTCTCCTGCTTTTCGCTAGCTGGAAGTGGGCTTTTTGTTCTAAAGCAAAAGGTATATCTTCTAAATCCAGCAAAAAAATATTTAACAAATATTAAGTAGCAGTTGGACTCGATGGTCCTGATGGGTCCCTTCCAACTCAGCATATTTTATGATTCTGTATCACGTGAGTGTGCAAAAGCTACAGCACCAACTACATTAGCCTGATGTAGCTTGCATTACAGCTTCATTCTCCAGTGGCTTGTTTTGCCTGAAACCCAGTGTTTATGTGGAGAAAACACCTATATTTAAGTGGGTTGCTAATTCCTCCACTAGCATTTTCCCCGGTTGGTTCATCAGTTAAATTGTTCTCTGCAGTTTGATGGGGCTGTGATAACTCGTTCCAGTTCATTTCACTCGGATGCTCCGGGGGGCTGTGGTAGCTGCCCTGGCACGTGGCCTGATTGCTGGGCCTCACTGTGCCCTTGTTGGTAACAATGGCACCATTCAGAATCTTCCTGGCATTGGGCATTCCACCTTTCCCTTCATCCCTGTCGGCTGAGCCTGCTTTTATAAACCCTGGGCACCTACAGCCGAAACGGTGGCACTGCCAGTGTAAGGAGTGGTGCTGCTCTGTCTCCTCCAGCTGCAGGGGGGACCCCAGATCCTGGTGGGAGCTGTGCTTCCCCATCTCCCCATCACATCACAGTCCCAGAGCCTGGTTAGTTCCCTCCTCGAGCCAGCGCTCTCCACAGAGCAATCTTCACTTGGAGCAACAAAGCCCCTGTTTATTCCGTCTGTTGTCCCCATGGACTGAGACCTGCTGTGTCTGCAAAATGCCAAGACCTGCTGTTCCCACGGCTTCCCCCATCTCTGTGTCTTGGAGGAAGTGTGCTTTCTTTTCTCTGCTGCATGCTTTCTGCTTGGTGTGACCGATGGAATGATCTCCACCTCCCCCTTCCTTTGCCCTCTTGCCCTCTCGGGGCCAACACTGAGGAAACACCAGTGGAAAGGACAAGCAGGGGCAGCCCAGGTTTTAGTTCCGACCTGGAGTGATCTCTCTGGAGAAAAATATTCCTCTGTGTGGAGGCAGCCGCTTGCCAGCCCGACAGTACAAAATAAGATCTCTGTCAAGGTGCAAAATACCAGGGGCAGTGTCCCCGCTGGGGATTTAAACCAGGGGAATGAATCAGAGCTCCTCGATGGCAGCAGTGCCAGTGCCGGTCATTTGTTATAATGCGGATGCAGTGCCCCAAACCGTGGGTGTCAGGAATGTGCATTCTGCTCTCTTCAGCTGTCTCCCAGCTCCTGTGATGTGCCTGGCACATGCCATCGTGCTGGGGAGCTGCAGGGACACTGGGCAGGGGTCAGAGGGGTGAGCGCTGAAGACTGAGCCGTGGCTGTAGTTCAGCCTCAGCAGCCTTTGCCTAGGAACTCCTCCTGCACAGCAGTGAAAAGCCTGTTGGGTTAGCAAGCCCTTGTGGCGCATCCCATCCTGGACCTGGAATAAGTCTTCCTTGGAGGAGGGAGGTGTTGCTGTTGCCCGTGGGGCTCCTTGAGAACCTGAGCAGGAAACGTGAGTAGTTTTTAAATTGCTGTCGTCAAGGTCACACAGTGTTGGCTTTGCTTCCAGGCAGTGGCCTGTGGTGGCATTGTCAGCAGGTACTTGGAAGCTGGACATCAAAGCTTTTGTGTCCACTCTGTGCTGGCGCTGCTGAGGCACCTTGAGTGCTGTGTCCAATTCGGGCACCCTCAGCATAAGAAGGACATCAAGGGGCTGAAGTGTGCCCAGGGAAGGGAACAGAGCTGGGAAGGGGTTTGGGGTACCAGGAGCAGCTGAGGGAGCTGGGGGTGCTCAGCCTGGAGAAAAGGAGGCTCAGGGGGGACCTTCTGGCTCTGCGACTCCCTGACAGGAGAGGGGAACCGGGGGGGGTCAGGCTCTGCTCCCAGGGAACAGGGACAGGAGAAGAGGGAACACTTCCAGCTGTGCCAGGAGAGGGTGAGGTGGGACATCAGGAGGAATTTTTTCATGGAAAGGGTGGTCAGGCATTGGCAGGGGCTGCCCAGGGAGGTTTGGAGTCCCCAGCCCTGGAGGTGTCCAAGGAAGACCTGACTGTGGCTCTCAGTGCTCTGGGCTGGGGGACAAGGTGGGCATCGGGCACAGGGGGGACTCGATGACCTCAGAGGCCTTTTTCCCACCCAAAAAATGAAATGATTCTGTGAACTGATTTTGTGATTCCTCAGCCACCTCACCAGCACAGAGCCATCCTGCCAGTGGTGGGAGCTGGGATGCTCAACTTCCAGTATCCTCGTTTGCAAGTGGTTCTGTGCCCCCAGCCACGTGTTTGCCAAACCCTGCTGTGGTTCTTCTTGGCTTGGACCTGTTACCCCCTCAAATCCCCGTGGCAGCACAACACTGAACCCACGTGCTTTGTGCTGAGCTGTCTGTTCTCAGGGGAGCACTGCGAGGCCGGGGCAGATGCCCGGGTGGCTTCCTGAGAGCTTTTCCTGCCCTGCCATGAGAAGGAGCTGACACTGCAGCAGGAACTCGGCGCCCAGAGCCCTGTACCACGAACACTCTTAACCCCCCTGACCCCGGACCCGACCTTGTGCCACACACATTTCCCAGCGCGCTGAGCTCCCTCAATGCTGCGCCTCATAACTCACAATCTTGGCTCCAAACTGCGGGTTTCGAACTGTTCTGACCTTTGTGTGCTCAGACCCTCCTCCTCCCCAAGGCCTTGAATGGGCTGTCCTGAAGTCTTCGATAGGGGATGTTTAGGAGTGGAAGAGGGAGTGCAGGGAGCAGAGGGAGGTTGGGAGCAGGGCTGCTGCATTACGCTGAAAGAATCTTTCTACCCGTCCAGCCATCGTTGTGGTAAAGATTATCAAGATGTTTTTCAAAATGTGCTACAGTTTAAGCTCACGAGCAAATATAACAGTCACTCTGAGTCTTCCACCCTTGAACTTTTTATAAATACTGAACTGTTACGGCTATATATATATATATATATTAGTTACAGGGTGTAATCCCCCTTTATGGACAGGGAAACTGAGGTGACTAATGCAGTGTCTCACCAAGGTTACATGAGAAGGCTGTGGCACACTGGGAACCTGCATTGCCCACCTGGGCCTGAATAGCTCTGGGGGAACTTCAGTGTTAGGAACAATTCTCTGCCTGCTAAAAAGCACCAAGGAAGTTTCGTGCATGCACTGGCTAACAAGATTACAAATCCTATCTCCCTCAGGTTGGTTGTCTGTTTTGGTAGCTCTTTGTTTTCTTAAATCAGCTAATTTTAATTAAAGCATGAGATATACTTCCTAAAAGTTACATCAGCTGGGACTGTAGAATTAACTCTTTACTTTTTGTATGGCACAGAATCACAGAATGGTTTGGGGTGGAAGGGACCTTAAAGCTCATCTCATTCCAAGCCCTTTCCATGGGCAGGGACACCTTCCACTAGACCAAATTATTCAGACTTGGATAGCTGTGCTCACTGAGCAGGGAAGGAAGTGCTTATTCTTCCAGCTGGACCCCAAGTCTCCCTTGAGAGGTGGCTCTTAGGAAGAATGGGCCCATCCACTACAAATTAATGCCTTAAAAGTTGGTCAACCTCTCCCCTCCCCTAAGGTTTCCTCATCCAGCTCTTGCTCCACAGGAGGATGGTTTCAAACAGAGCTGGTGGAGGGTTTATTTGTTTCCACAGGGCTGCTCTCGGATACATAGAAAACTGGTGCTTGAACCAACAGCTGGAAGCTTGTTTTCTCTCAAAATAAATACTCCATTCTGCTACCTCTTCTCAGAGACTTTTCTTTTTTTAACTTATAAATCAAGCACCAGCTGCTCTTGCAGGAGAGACAGAGGCTGAAATCCCTGTTGTTTTGGCCTTATTTCTCACATCTTTGCATCTTCTGCCCTGGCTCTCTCTTCTCCTGAGTACCTGACGTGTTTCTTTCCACTTACAGGGCTTGGCCTTCATTTGTCCTCTTCAAAACTTACCACAAACGTCTGTAGATACTGAGGTGCTGGTGGTGATCCCCCTTGGGGCTGTAGCCTTGTAGCAGGGGTCAGGCTGACTCACTGAGCCTTCAAAACCCTGATTCAGTTGTGTTTTTTCTTGTCTTGTTCAAACTGTGACTGTATTCTTTCTCTTCTGATCCTTAAACTGCAAGTTCTTGGGGACCAGGAAGGCTTGGGTCTGTCACCAGGAGGATTGGCAGGGGATATCACATGGCCCACCGTTAGGGTTTGTGATGTAGAAGTGATGCAAACCAGAAATAATCTTTAAATAGATTAACCTGTCAGGATTTAAAAAAAAAAAAAAAAAAAAAAAAAAAAAAAAAAAAAAAAAAAAAAAAAAAAAAAAAAAAAAAAAAAGCAGCACCTTTTTAGTTACATAACTTGCAAAGGGCAGTCCTGGGATGTCTAAAATGCTTCTTCAGCTGTAGGTGTGGGTGCACAATATCAATGTTTTCTTTTCAAAATGCGTAGGTTGGTCGCCGCTTTTCTCGACACTGCCAGTTTTTGCTGCCATATGTTCTCCTCCTGCAAAACCTTTAGCACTGTTAACTTGGTTTGATGTAAACAGATGATGCTGCATCTTGTGTTCCAAATTGCTAACCTGGAATGGCGCGTGGTGTGACTGGTCTGTCCTAAACTGGAAGCTCTGCCTGCCCCACCTTTTCTTCCAGTGGTTTGTCTCCAGAAGGGGAAGACATGAGGAATTCCCGGTGCCAGACAGAGCGGGGGGTGTGAGGAGCCGTGGTGCCACCTCGCTTTGGGGGTTCAGTCGGTGTCTCCAGAAGGGGTTTGTCTCACGCCGTGTCTCTCCCCTACGAACAGGACGTCAACGCCGGCGAGGGGAGCGAGTTCACCGACAGCGGCATCGAGGGAGCGGCCACCGACACCGACCTGCTGTCCCGGCGCTCCAATGCCACCACCTCCAGCTACTCCCCCACGGCCAGCCGGGCCTTCATCGGCAGCGACAGCGGGAGCAGCTCCACGGGCGATGGGCTCCGGCAGGGCGTCTACGAGAACTTCCGCCGGGAGCTGGAGATGAGCACGGCCAACAGCGGCGAGCTGGAGGAGGCCGGCTCTGCCCTCAGCGACGAGCAGAGCAGCGGCACCCTCAGCTCCCCCGGCCAGTCCGACATCCTGCTGACGGCCGCCCAGGGCACTGTGAGGAAGGCGGGAGCCCTGGCCGTGAAGAACTTCCTGGTGCACAAGAAGAACAAGAAGGTGGAGTCGGCCACGCGCAGGAAGTGGAAGCACTACTGGGTTTCCCTGAAAGGTACGGGGAAAGGGTCCTGTGGGTTGGGGATCGCTACAGACGGTGAGACCAGTGGCCTTGGAAAATCTTCTGTGAGCTTCAGTGGGGTTGACGTGAAGCCTGAGGAGGCGGTCCCGCTGACTTGCAGAGGAGGTTGTGTTCGCTGGTTGCGGGTGTGTTCCTCACACCTGTGGCCTGCGTGCAGCCCGAGGCACGGCGCTGTGCTGCACAGCACTGGGGTTCGTGCCCTGCTGGCACCACCCAGGGGGGCTTCCCTGAGCCTTCCCTTTAGGAGGTGTGCCCCTGGCTTGCTGACAAACTAAATACCCACGTGCGGCTGTGGGCGTGTGATGGCGGGAGTTTGTTGGTGATGCCAGTGGCCTGTGTTCAGACAGGGGCTCTGCCCCGGTGTGCATTCCTCTTGCACCTCTTGGTCTCCCCAGAATGGGCAGGAAGCCATGGTTTGGTCACTGAGGCTGGAGCGTGGCTTGGTGGATGTTTGCTCTGGCTGCGTCACCCATCCTGCGCATCCCTCCTCCCCTCTCTGGGACACAGACCCTTTTCTCCCGGAATTTTGGCAGTTCCTGCAAGGCACACGCTCATAAATGCACAGAGGTGTTAATGGAGCAGTGGAGCTCAGGAGCTGACCTCCTGGTGTGACCTCTAATTAATCTTCATGTGGTTCATCAGCAGGAAAACGGTTTTGGGACTGTCCTCGCTCTCCTCCACCAGAGCCGTGTCTCCTGCTGTAGGTGGGATCACCCAGAAAGCTCAGCATGGTTAAACCCTGCCCTCCCCACACTTGGAGCACTTGTTTGTTTTTAATTTGCAGCGCTATTTTAAAAGCAGCAGCAGAGTTAGGAGCCAGCTTTTCCCCGGGGTGGTTAGAGGGATGGGGAAATGGAAGAGGAGAGAGGGAGGTGAGGGGCAGGGGACAGCCCTAATCCCCTGGGAGGGGGGCCCTGTGGCAGGAAGGTCTTGCTGTGAGGAGCAGGCAAACAAAGGGCCATCTGGGAGGGAAAAGGGGAAGGATGAGCAGGGAGGAGAGGTTGTTTTGAAGTGCTTTGACTGGAGTGGAGTGGTAGTGCCTTGGATTGCTGTGCCTTAATACTGCCAGTGTTTAACCCAGGCTTTGAAGTGAACAGCTGCCATTGTTCAGCTGCAAATACTTTTCTGAGAGGCTGGGTACCCGGCCATCCCTTTGCACTGAGGGGCTTGGTTACAGTGGCACAGAAAGTGTGTGCCAGCATAAAACCAACTGGAGATAATGGGGAAAGATTGGAGAAGAGACCTTTTTTATCTTCTTCTTTTTTTTTTTTTTCTTTGAATCTCCCAAATTTCAGACTTGCTGTATACTTTTTTTTCCCCCTTCCCTGAGAAGACTGTAAAGATTATTTTGTAACACCAAGCAGGTCGGTTGCTGTCCCCAGCTAACATGCGTTCCTCTTCGGGCTTTTTTGTCTGTCAGTCAGCGAGGACAGCTCATTCCAGCCCATTTTAATTCCAGTTACTGTCTGCATCCAGTAATTAAATCGCTTGATCTTTGCCTTGCAGGGACTGTAGCTGCAGCTGCAGAGGCTGAGGCTGGGCTGTGCCTGGGGGCCTGTCTGCTCCCAGGGCTGGCTCACTGCTGGCTGTCACCCTCAGGGGACACACGGGGTGGCAGTGGAAGACCCCCCCCCATTTGGGGATTTGTTGTGAAGTTTCTCATCTGGGGCTGTATTTTGCTGCTCACGACTTTCTCAGCTCTGTTTTGGCAGTCCTAGGGAGACAAAAAAGACCTGCTGGGTCAGGGCTTGGTGTCCCCGTGTCGCGGAAACCACCGCCTGGTGTGGCTGAAAACTGGGCAGTTGCTGGTGCTCTCCACTGTGAGGCTGAAAACCTGGACAGGCCCTGGCAAATCCTCCCTGTGCCAGTATATTTGTAGTCCCGAGTCTCAGCGCTGGAGAGATGCAGGGTGGCATTTAAATGTTGCTAACACGGGATGGTCTCTTGCAGGGTGCACGTTGTTCTTCTACGAGACGGATGGCAGGTCTGGCATTGACCACAACAGCATCCCAAAACACGCCGTCTGGGTGGAGAACAGCATCGTGCAGGCTGTGCCTGAGCACCCCAAGAAGGACTTTGTCTTCTGTCTCAGCAACTCCCTTGGGGATGCTTTCCTCTTCCAGGTGGGTCCGGTTCAAGGGGCTTACAGAGTTGTTCTGCTTCTGATAAAGAAGCTTCTCTGTGGTAGGATGTGCCCCCCAGTGCAAAACGTAAAATTGCATTGCCTTGTGAGTCCTTGCAGCTCAGATAAACAAGGGGTTGGATTCTCAGACTGGTGCAACACTAAAAAGCCCTTCTGACCCAAAGGGAGTGGTGCTGGCTTACCTCTTGAAGAGACTGAGTATCTGACTGCGTGCTGAAAAAAAAAACATCGTGGTTTTGCAGGCCAGCTTCTCTGCCACCTCAGTGGGATGTTTTTCCTCAGCTCCTAGTATAGTACTGCTCTTCCTAATATCCAATCTAATCCTACTCTCTGTCAGTTTGAAGCCATTCCCCCTTGTCCTGTCACTCCAGGCCCTGGTAAGAAGTATCTCTCCATCTTTCCTGAAGACTCACTCCCTTCAGGTCCTGGAAGGCCACACTCAGGTCACCCCAAAGCTTCTCCTCTCCAGGCTGAACAATCCCAATCTCTCCCCTTTCCTCCCAGCAGAGCTGCTCCGTCCCTCTGATCCTCTTGATGCCTCCTCTGGACTCTCTCCAGCAGCTCCTTGTCCTTGCTGTGCTGTTCCCCAGGGCTGGAGGCAGCTCTGCAGGATGGGGGGGTCTCACCTGAGGGGGCAGAGGGGCAGAATCCCCCCCTTTCACCTGCTGCCCACGCTGTGGGATCAGCCCAGGATCTTTTCCATGCAGTTTTCTAAGGAAAACCCTTCATTCTCATGGGATTAATGCCAGTGGATGTGAAGTATTGAAAAGGTCACAGTTTGTGGCATGCAGGGCCTTACCCATCAAAATCCCCATGCCGTTATTCCACGGGTGGGTTTTCACGTAGGGAAAAAGCAAAAACCAGCCCTTACAAATGAAAACCAGTCGTTTATATTGCCTTGCAGAAATGTTTCACGACGTGTCCCTTCTGCCAGGGAAGCCAGGCATGGCTAGTGAAGCAGAAGGGAAGGAAGGGATGGACAGGTTGGGGCGCAGGGAAGGGGATCAGCTGTGGCGGTGGGAGAGGCATGAGGGATGTGCTGGCCCCGCTGCCCTCACAGCAGTGGTGCTTCCTTCTGGTGTCCCACACACCACCCACACATAGCACAGTGCTGTAGTAGCGGGTTTGACCTGCAGAAGGCTATTTCTGTCCTGTGGAGACTGTGTACATAGGGAGAAAAATAAGAGTCGCTTTGTGATGCCTACAGATATTGGACATCTTGTAACAAGCCTTCCCACTGCATTGCACCTAGAGGCATCACATTCCTCCTACACAACCATGCCTTGCTCAGTCACTTCTTATTGTGCCTACACAGATCCAGTACTTGCAGATGTCACATGAATTTTCCAGGAGCTCAGAGCAACTTGTGATTACCACGTATTTATGTGTCAGGTGTTTGCAGCTTGTTTACGTGGTCCTTTCCGTTGGGAAGGGCACTGATTCCCCTTGCCTGCTGATCCTGCCAGAAGAGTCTTCAGCTCCTAAAATCCACTCCAGGTTCTTTTTTCCCCCTCCTCCTCCTCCCCAGTATCTCCTGGGGTATGTTTCAGAAAACCAGAAAGAAAGCTGAATCTAATGGTATACAGATAACATTTTGAAATTCATTGAGCTAAAAAAATACGACCCCTTGCTGTTAGGACTTTGATAGGAATTAACAAAACCATCTCACTGTGTGTTCAGTGCTGCTCTCTTCTCTGCTGGGGATGATGTTCTGGCTGTAGGCAAGGTGTTTCCCATTCTGCAAATAATTCCTCTGTTTCCAGCAGAAATTCCTCATCCAGTGGGGGCCCACTGTGTTCAGCAGTGGGGATAAGACATTGTAAGCCCCTGTCTGTGAATGAGAGTTTGTTAAAGGTATTGTCTGGGCAGGGAGCCTGACAAATTTAAGCAATATCCAGTGCCAACTGAAGGCAAGGAAATTGGGTGTAAGAACTCAGTTGTTCCTGTGTAGGCTCTGTGTGCTGCTTCGGACTTCTAACCTGAGTTGAGGAAAGTGGTGCCCTTCTGGGACCTTTGTGTCTTACTTGCTTCAGTCCCCAAAAGTTTTGGCAACATCAGCCTGAAGTCCAGCCTGTGCATATGTGATTTCCAGGGCAGGCTTCTCTGGGAATCTCTGCTTGGCTTCAGTGAGCCTCGTCCTTTGCCGTTAGCTGTGACCGCAGCGAGGATGACCTTCCTCATCTGTGCCAGCAACTGGAGAAGTCGTGCTGTGCTCTCTATTAATAGATCAGGTATCATCAGGAAGTTTAATTAGAACAAGGTGGTTTGGCACCTTGATACTTTTCCAGCCAGGAGCCAAATACCAGCGTGATTATTTTTACAGGCTGACACTTGGAGAGAGTCCTCTGCAACCCTGAGTTTGTTTTACAGCCTACTGTAAAAAGGAGTGGAGTTTAGTAAGAAGCCTAAAAGGATTGGCTTTTTATTTTGAAAGCCTGGGAAAGGAATGCTTTGAAATATTCTTCTTTCTGTGTCAAAAGCCTCTAATCAGAACAGTTCTCTCCCAGAAATATGTACTGGTGTCCCTGGTATCTCATGGAATGGTTTGGGCTGGAAGGGACCTTAGAGGTCATCCAGTCCCACGCCCTGCCTTGGGCAGGGACACCTCCCACTAGACCAGGTTGCTCCAAGCCCCGATCAACCTGGCCTTGGACACTTCCAGGGAGGGAAAGTGTTCCCTTTTCCCAAGCTGTCACATACATGCTTGGGAAGGGACAGTACCAGAGCTGTAAAGATTAGGATGAGCCTGCCTTTAATGATAACAGGTTTGTCCTCAGAGGGCTTTGGGACTTTCAGAAAGTGGAAAGCTCTATGCACCATATTAAAGCTTATAGTTATCATGGTCACATTTTATGCCACTAACTTATTACTAAGTCCTGCATGCCAGAAAAGCTCTCCATTCCTGGGAAGAGCAGAGAGTCTGCAGCATTCACTGCATTAAGGAACTGGGAGTTTAGAGAACATCATTAAATGCTGAGCTGCAAATTATGGCAGCATGGCACTGAACAAGGAAGGTGATTCCTGAGAACTCTCTGGGAAGCTGCAAGGCACAGATATAGGTGCAATTCTGAGTGCTGAGTGCCTGGTGTGCGAGTTGAAAATGCGAGTTAAAAATGGCCTCCTTACGGATGAGGGGGCGTTTATTACTTCCACCGAAATAAGTGGATTTAAGGCTTTTAATCTTGAGATCAAAGGGAGGGGGAAGCTCCTTGGAATTGCAGTTGAGGGTTTTAAAGAGGATCCTGACTTCTTTTTTCCCCCCCTCTTTTGGTCTCCTCAGACCTCCAGCCAGACGGAGCTGGAGAACTGGATCACGGCGATCCACTCGGCCTGCGCGACCGCGGTGGCGCGGCAGCACCACAAGGAGGACACCGTGAAGCTCCTCAAGACCGAGATCAAAAAGCTGGAGCAGAAGATCGACATGGACGAGAAGATGAAGAAGATGGGCGAAATGCAGCTGTCCTCTGTCACGGACTCCAAGAAGAAGAAGACCATCCTGGATCAAGTAATCTCCCTTGCTCATGTGGAATAAGTCCCCAGCGAGTGTTTTCAGGCCTCCCCGAGATCAGTGGTAGCTCTGTCCTGCCCTCTGTGCCCGGAGCAGGTGGGAAGTGTTGGCAGGAGAGATGGCCTGGCTGACTTAGTTGCACCACTGAGGTGCAGCTTGGGCTGTCTTCTCCTGGCCTCCACCCGTGGGATTTGGATAGCAGGCGGAGAGTGAAGGTCACGGCAGCGGAATTCCTTAGGGAACAGCTGCTCGCAAATAACTGCGGCTGCTGTTGTTTGAGGTGTGCAAGAGGCCGGTTCTGCTGCTGGCAGACGGGGTGAAGGAACCATCCCTGGTTTCTGCTTGTCACAAGGGCCTGCCTTGACCTCGTGGCTGCATCCCTGGCTTCCCCTTGGGCCCTGCTCCTTCTGACTTCCAAGTGGGCAATGTAGCTGGATTTCAGGAGCAGGGAGCCTCGAGCAGATGTCTCTCCCGCTGCCGCAGCAGCACCTTATTTTAGGAAACTAAACATATGGCTCCTGCCTCACTCATTTGTAGCTCTTTCACCAGAGCTGCCAAATGTGCCTGTAATGCAAAGCATGAGAAGTGGCCAGGGCTAAGCTGAAGAGATTTTGTACCCCCTGGAAGCCCGTGAGAAGGGGGGATGGAGGGGGAAAAGGCGGGGAGATGCTCGTCTCTGCTGAAAGGGCTCCACTCAAAGGCTGTCAGTCACAGCCTCTCTCTTTATGTAACTGAGTTTTTCTGGATGCTTTGAAACTGTTTCCTATCAGCTGTTTGAATTATTTAGAGAAATCCTTCCATGGGCTGATTGCAGTGCTCTTCCACTGATCAGATTAATTATCCCCAGTGCCTGGCACTCTTGGTGCTCACAGCAACGATGCTGCTGCTGTGTGTGGAGTTTGGTGGGGTTTGGTCTTCTTGTTTCTCAGATGCTCTTGATGCATGAAAGAAGCCTCTTAAGGGACTGCTGAAAAGAGAATCCTGGAATACAAGGAAAATTAAAAATGAAAATTTAATCTTATTAATTAGCATTGTATCAAAGGAGCAGTCGTCCCAGGAGAAGGCTTCTACCATGAATGTAGAAAAAGTTGTTTTCCATCTAATGAAAACTCTTACTATTTGTATCCTTTGAGGGGTTGGGAGAGTGTGGGGGGATGTGTTAAAAACAAGGAATTGGGGTTTCTTGGATGAGATCAGCATTGGTGAAAAACGGTGTGCTAATGGGAAGAGCATAAATTTTTTCAAGGCATTCACCACCCTCTTCTCCCTCCTCTCCCCACAGATCTTCGTTTGGGAGCAGAATCTGGAGCAGTTCCAGATGGACCTGTTCCGGTACCGCTGTTACCTGGCGAGTCTCCAGGGAGGGGAGCTCCCCAACCCCAAAAGGCTCCTGGCTTTCGCCAGCCGGCCCACCAAGGTCGCCATGGGCCGCCTTGGCATCTTCTCAGTCTCGTCCTTCCATGCCCTGGTGAGTGTGGACAGAGGGCAGGGCTCCCCTCTGCCAACCTGCACAACGCAGAGGTCACCAGCAGCAGTGAGGGGTGAGCCCTCACCTCAGGGTGCAGGATATTCTGCTCCCTGGAAGGGGTTCGTGTTCCTGGATGTCAGTTAAAAAGTAGATGCTTGCAAGCCATATGGCCTCATGGGAGTGGGAGAACCATGTTTCTCCTAAGGGTGGGATGCTGAATAGCCCAGACCTGCGCTATAAACAGATTTTCCTGTTAATGTCCATGTACGTAGGCTCGATCCAAAAGTCCCACGAAGTCAGTGGGAGCCATTCTTAGGCCCTCAGCATGTGTTGGCTTAGACCTTCTTGGGCATGGCTCACTTTGTGCCATATGGCTGAAACTACTGACCAATTAGTCTCATATCCGGTCTCCGGTGATGATCGACACCTGATGCTCCACAAAGGAGGGGAAAACGTTGCTCCCTCCTGCTCACATTGTGGCAAATGATGTTTCAATTGGTTGCTTGAACTTAAATACTGTAACAACCCAGCTCGTGAAAGTACAGGGAAATGTATTGCAAAGTGCTCGGGTTTTAATGAATTTAAATCAAGTTCTTGCCGTTTCGGCTTGGACTCCTGGAGGTTCACAGAAATAGCTGAGCTCCACTGTTGTCTTGTAGCTGTCAGCTGTACCCTTCAATTGAATCCAGAGCTGTAATTCAGGCAGGGGTGTTTTTATTCTCTCCTCTATGAAAAGATTAGCGTCATCATCCTGCTAATTGCCGGCGGATTTATTATATTTTTTAAGTGGCGGGCTGTAATTAGCATTTATGCTTATTTTTTTTTTGCATCTAGCAAAGCACTGAGCGTTAGCCTGAAAAACAGTCTGCCTCTTCGTGCTGCTGTCTCTTGAGAGCCAAGGAAAAAAAAGAAAAAAAAAAATGTTTTGAGTATGTTGTGCTGGAAAAGACACGTGCTTTCTTCTCCTCTCAGCAAACTCTTGTGTCCTCCTTTGCCCTCAGCAACGTGGGGATATGTAACAACTCCGCGCTCCTCTGCTGCTGGGAGCCCTAATTGAAGCTTCAGGAAGGGAATTTGCCCAGAGAAGCTGTGGCTGCCCCAATCCCTGGAAGTGTCCAAGGCCAGGTTGGACGGGGCTTGGAGCAACCTGGGATAGTGGAAGGTGTCCCTGCCCATGACAGGGGGTGGGACTGGATGATCTCTGAGGTCCCTTCCAACCCAAACCAGTCTGTGGTTCTGTGGCTCGAGTGGGTGCTGCATGGTGAGAGTGTGGCATCCCTAACTACTCCGAGAGGATGTGCCAAGTTATCCTGGGTGTCTGTGCATGAATGTCCCAGGTACAGCTTAGGGAACGTCTCACAAGTCCAGGCTGTGGAAATGGAGACACCTGCAGTAGCGTTTAAGTTCTTCCTCATGATTTCTCCACGTTTCCCAAGGAGAACCCCCGTTCCTCACGCAGTTCCCTGGATACACCAGCCAGCCTTCTGTCCTTGCTGGCTTTGGATGGGGCCTTGGATCTGCTGCACCCAAACAACCAGTTCCTCCGCTCCGTAGCTCGGGGCATCACTGAGATTTGGGTGTTCCCGCTGGGGCTGCCAAACGTTTGGCAGTCCCACCGTGCCGGTTTCGGCTGTGGGAACCCAGTCCCGAGGTGTTCCAGGAAGCTGGAATGGCCGAGTCGGCAGGGTGGGTTGGGTCTGTCTGTCTGCCCGGCTTTGCCTTGCCTCACGTTCACACCTGCCATCCCCTACTACTCCCTCTTTGGCAGGAGAGGAGCTCCCTCTCCTGAGGCCACCTTCTGAGGTGGGAAATCTGCTTCAACTTGGGCCCAAAGACTTCCCCTCTGACTGATGTCACACTGACTTCCACCAGAGCTTCCTCACCACCCCTCGGAGAGTTGGGCTCAGCAATGGCAAATGTCTTTTTGCTCCAAAGGGGTTGCCACAGGCCATTTTTGAAGCGCCCCAGCAGTTAACACTGCTCTGATTGGAAGGGTCCTTTTGTCCCTTCCTGTGTTTTTGTTCACTCCTTCAGATGTCACTATCTTTTGAGGAAGTGCAGGTTTTTAAGTGCCACCACGTCCTTGCAAGCTTTTATCTGGCCTTGCTGCAGTCATGAGTCAGTTCCAGGATGCTCAGAGTGTTTCCACAGGAAAGAGCAGAGAGGAAGACTGAGCTTTTGGGAAGCAAGAGATAAGTTTGGATATCTCAGATTTCACGTGGCCAGCTTTGAAACCTTGTTAGGAAATGGGAAAAAAAAAAAAACAAAAGAAAAAACAAAACAAAACCAAACAAACAAAAAAACCCCACAAAAAACCAACCAAACAAAAAACCCAAACCAAAACAAAAAAACCCCAAACCCCTTCACTGTTGCCGAGGCTTTGCTCAGGGATGATTAGGATGCTTTAAAATATCTCAGATTAAATGCCAAAAAATGGGGTGGGAGTGTGCTGTCCATGTCAGTTTTTGGGGTTTGGCGCTGGGAGATGTGAGTTAGGTGGCGGCATCACCACTGCCTACCACTGTCCCTGGAGCGAATACACTCTTTTGCCATAGGATTTACCTTTCGTTTCCATCCAGATTCTACTGTTTGGCAGAGGTAGGATGCTGTAACCTCTGATTTTGAAAGCATGTGGCATTGACAGGTGGCGGCTCGCACGGGGGAGTCGGGAGTGAGGAGAAGGACACAGGCCATGTCCAGGTCTGCCAGCAAACGGAGAAGCAGGTTTTCTTCTCTTTGGGGGCTGGATACTACCTCGAAGAAAAAGCAAGGGAGGCCCAGCATTAATCAGGTAAGGGTGTGGGAAGCCTGTGGTCCTGTTGTTTTCAAGGCTGGTGTGTCGGTGTGCAGAACGCAGCTCGCACAGAGTCACTTGCATCGAGCACTTCCACGCCCAGCCTTAGCCCTGCTTGTTTAATCTGTGTAGTCATCTCATTCCTCATCCTCTTCAGAAATCAGGGTCTGTAATTGCAGATCAGTGTAGAGCAGCTCCTGCCAAAGGTTTGGAGTTTGCCCTTTCTTTAGCCGATTTGGTTATGTTTCTACTGTTGTTGCATTTCTGCTGCCTCTGCTTTTGCTGGAGGTGCTGTCCCTAATCTCAGGAGCCACAAAGCTTCATGTCTAAAACAGATGCAACTTTGAAAGGAACATAATGATTCAGACTTGTTTGGTGATTTTTAATTTAAAATTACGAGTTCGTACAATACTTTAAATGTATCTGAGTTGGGTGAAAACTTCCCAAAGTGACAAAAAACTTTACATTTAGTCGGGACAGCCCTTGTTTTGCCTCAGATTTATAAAAAAAAAGCAAAAGTTGCAATGTTTCCACCCAGTCACTGCCCAGATCTTTCTCTCGAAAACATGTTTCAGTGTGGTAGGAAGGTGCTTCCCTGTTATTTTTCCCTAACATCCCTAATTACAGCTTTCAGTTTTTGAAAGCCATACCTCATCTAATTGCAGGAAATGAATGTAGGCTCTGCTCTTCTTTCTCTTCTCTCCTCTCACTTTTTGTGGGGAGAAAGGCTCGGGACACGCGTTCTGTGCCCTGTGATTTCTTCTGCCGTTTGTTAAGGCAGCAGTGGGTGTTTGTTTTGTTCAGCAGAGGATGGATGCTGCAGAACTGTTGAGCTTGTTTTCAGCCAGACATGAAAAGTTCACCCAATATTTAGTGGCTGAGCAGAAGCTCAGGGTTTTTTTCTGGAATGCAGCAGATGATTCCCGTGAGCGCGTTCCCGATTCCTTCTTCTGGTGCTGCAGCATCCCTGTTGCTTTGTATTTACTTGCCCCAAATAAAACACAGCCCCTTGTCCTGAACTAAGATCCTGCCCATGCTGTGTGCAAGCCTGTTGTTTTTTTCCTCCCTGATCTCACCCTTTTGTTTTTCCTTCCAGGGGGGATAATTGCATTCTTCACGCTGCCTCCCCCACCCCTGCCCCCCTCTCTCCTCACTAACACAGGCAGGGAAAGGGACTCTAATGTTCCAGGTTAAAGGAAAGTCACACTTGGGAGAGTTGTAGAAAATATAAAGTTCTGGGGAAGTGGCAGAATATCTGAATGCAGTGCCTGAACACATTTCCCTTGCGTCCTGCAAAAGTGTCACCCGTTGGAAGGAGCGAACTGTAAATCCCAGAAGGGCAGAGACCTTCTCCCATCCTGCACGGCCCTGCTTCGTTTCAGCCATGGAATAGTTAACAGCCAAACCAGCAACTTGATCCTCAAGCTGTGCTGATGTGGAGCTGTAAAAACTTAACTTTTCAGTTTTAATTACAAGCTTCTGCTGCAGTCAGAACCCTGCTTGCCCATCTGATGGAGTCCCGTGCTGGTTTGGGGTGGACCCCGTAAATATTCCCGTTCGGCCGTTCCTCCTGCACGGAGCCCTGTTGATTTTGGCTCTCTGGCTCGTGCTGGGTTACCAGCTCTTATTTCATTAGAGAAGGGCTACACTGACTTGTGGTGCTTGAATGTTTGCTAAGTACGTTTTGGCAGCTGGGTTGTTACAAAGCCAGCAGAAGCAGAGCCCGTCTGATTTGTCAGCCTTAGCAGAAGTGGGAAGGTGTTCATTCCCACACTTTACAGGTGGGTAAACTGAGCACAAAAGGAGATAAAATTAGTCCAGCTTCACCAAGGAAGTCAGAGACAGATCTCTAAGCAGAAGTGGGCTCTAATCTTCAGCACGATGCCCCATCAGCAGCTTGTCTTTCGCCTCCCCTTCTCTTTTATCAAACTGCTGTTTTCCTTCTCTGTGTTTGGAGATGAGTGTCTGTGTTTTCCAGTTTGATTTCCCTGCGAGGTGTCAGACAGACTGTTCTCCCCTTAGCCTGTGCTGCAGACAGGGAGTCACGTTTGAGTTTCAAAGCACATTCCCTCTTCTCCCTCAGGTGTTTGGTGAAGGAGTCGACTCCGTAAAGAAATCCCTGGAAGGGATCTTTGACGACACAGTCCCGGATGGCAAGGTAACCCCAGCTCTCCAGCTGCCTCCTTTGCAGCCAGTCTCCATGCAGGGATTGACTCTGGGATGAGAGGGGAGAGGACCCTCTGTGCTCTGGAGCACTTGGAGCTTTTCTGGGAGGGTTTGAGCTGGGTGCCCATGACCAAAAGAGCAGCTGGAGGTGCCAGACCCAGAGGTTTGTTAGCCAGGGAAATGCCTGCCCACGGGAGGACCTGGATCCCTCTGGCTCTGCAAAATGGCTCCTTTTGGTGGCCATATGGGGTTTTCATAATTAAGGGTTGGTGCAACTAAGTAGCACAGGGCTTTCTCTGTTTAGTGCTTCCCTGAGTTTCTGCATTTGACTTCCTGCATTCACAGCCCCAAGTGCAGCTGCTTTCTCTTTCCCCAGAGAAAGTCAGCTGTAAAACAACATCAACCCAGTGCTGAGGCACATTCTTCATGCAGTGGGTATTGGGTTTAGCCACATGAGCCCCCTTGCAGTAAACAGGGATTTGGTAGCTGCCATCGCTTCCTGGGGATTTATAGCTTGGAGTGCAACTCAGGTGTATAAAAGGCAGTAAATTCAAAATAAATGCCAAGATTTGCTATTTTGCCATTTTCCAGCTATAGGAAATGCAGTACCTACAACAGCTTTGTTGGCCTCGGATTGGTTTACCCAGAAGCACAGTACATTTCAGTTTTCAATTTACATATGTTTTTATCCCTGTTATTTTTTGTTGCATTCCTAGCATTCCCAGCAGCCATAGGGTGAAATCCCAGGAAAAGCACATTGCACCAGTGTAGCTGTGTGGGTGGCATGGGAAGGCACACTTTCTTCTGCTCAGGGAAAACGGCAGGTTCCTGCCCAGACAAGCCTTCTACCTGGGCTTATGAACAAAATATCTCTCTAAGAGGGCTCTCTGCTACAGCACATAACGCTCCTCACACTTGTTATTGATGAAGAGGGAGTTGTACTTGGCTGGCAGAGTCAATCATGGATTTTGTCTGTGACTTAGAGGGAGAAAGAAGTGGCGCTGAGCAGCGTCCATCAGCACAACCCCGACTGTGACATTTGGGTTCACGAGTACTTCACGCCGTCGTGGTTCTGCCTGCCCAACAACCAGCCTGCCCTGACCGTCATCCGTCCTGGGGACACCACGAGGGACGTGCTGGAGATGATCTGCAAGGTAAAGGCTGCCTGTGTGCCCTGGAGTGGGGTGAGATGCCTGTGACCCCGGGCCCTTCTGGTGGAGCTTCAGCGCTGCTCTGTGCTGGGAGCTCAGTTCTGTGTTGGATGAAGAACATGAATTGCACTGAAATGTCCGTGCTGGGGCAGCAGCGCAGAATTTCCTGCAGCTGGAGCCGAACTTGGCGTGGGTGCAGGGACAGGCGGGCAGGCTCGGTTTTGCCTTTCCCACTCTGACTGCTGTGCAAGAGCCTAGACTAAGGGCCTTCACTGCTACCTCTCAGGGGCCACCCACCCACTGCCTCTCCAGTGGAGACCAAGCTGTGTGTGGGACCCCCAGCACCCTGGCTCCCAGCCCGCTGGACACCCCACACACCTGGCCACCCTGGTGTTCCCTCCTCTGCCAGCTGAGTGAGGTGATCTCACCCCTTCCCAGGTGCCAGGGTGGCCTGTTCCCACGTGCCATTCCCCCTTCCTTCCCCTCTGGCTGGCACTGGGGAAGGCAGCAGCACCAGGAATAGAAGGTGCCTGTGTCTGCACTGCAGAGCCAGACTCACCTCGTGGGGGTGGCAGGACGGGAGAGAGGAAGGATTTTGTCTGAGTTTGAGGGGCGGGGGGAAGACAAACCACCTGGATTTCTCTGCCAGATGAAGTATCAGAAACATTTGGCCATTAGAAAAGAGTTACATCTCCAAAGAGTTGGAAAGTTTGACAAATTAAATGCAGGCTTTCAGATCTGGCAGCTACATAATGTGTGTTTTCTGCTCTGCCTGCGAGCGAGACCCGACTCGCGTCACGTGCTGCTCTGAAAAGTGAGGCTGCTTTGTACAACAACAACAGCAGCGAAAAGAAAAGAAAATATTTATGACTATTGAGAGCTTAACTTTGGGGGCTTTTAGAACGTGTTGCATGCGCTTCCAAAGAGAGGGAAGGTGAGAGAAAGGCGTTTGTTTCCAGTAATTACACAGTGTGCTCGTCTCTCTGCCAGGTGTGCTGTTCAGGAGTTTGTGAAAGCTCGGCTTTGTGTTGAGGAAAAGATGACATTTTTGGAGAGAGACATAGCAGGGAAGCTGGATGACACATTATTAGTGATGATTTATTTTTAGGATTTATGTTTTCCCTTGGGTAAGAGCGATTAAACTCGGGGGACCAGATCCTCAGCTGGAGTAAGCTGGTGTAGCTCCACCCGTTCCAGCAGGTGCCTGCTGAGGGTCTGGTATCTCACTGTGTGTTTGTTGTGGTGGGTGGGGGGTGTATAAGGAGAAGGGGAGGTGGGGGAGTGTTTTTGAAGAGCTGTTATCTGTTTCTTTCCTTTCTGTAAGAGTTTTCAGCCTGGAAAACACTGATGGATGCCTTCTTCTCTGTAGCATTTAATAATCAATCTCTTTCTTCTGTCTCTTGCATTCAGCTCATTTTTTCCCCTTTAATATCTGATCCACATCATTTCACATCAGTTTGCCATCTGCCATCTGAGAACCAGTCGAGTTCTGGTACAGTAAACATTTCAAGCTCTACATTTCATATAAACCTCTTCATGTTTGTGGATGTGGTTAAATCTATCTGTGCTGTTAATCTGAGCTTGATTATTCTGTTGGAGAACATTAAGTGCACTCAAGTCATTGTAGAAAATGTGTTCTTATGCTAACACTGCTGCTTGTTATTGTACAGCGAGTTAGGCTTTGGAGGATGCTTTGTGACACCTTCACGATTTCAAGATTGGTGGGAGGAGTGCTTAAAAGCGTATTTTAGAGTGGTTTCTCAAAGATTTCTCCTAAGATTTAAACTAATAGCACCACTTGGCAGGCAGGGAAAGTCAGCGTATGTGCGTTAAATTGCTTTTCTGGGGATGATAGGAAATATTTGGTCCCTTCCAGCCTTAACCATCCAGTGATTCTGTGATAACACTGATCAGCGTGAACGTGTGTCTGTGTATTACTAACATTTGCATAAAGGTATGTCTCAAAATTGAGTGGAAACTCACACTCTGTGTGTGGATTTAGGCAGAGCCAGCGTGGAGATGATAACAGCAAAAACCAGTATGGAGATAGTAACACCAAAAACCAGGAACTACATGGCATTTAGTCCTTTGACTGCATAAAAAATTGAGAGGCAAGAAAGGTTTCTTTTTTCCCCTCACAGCTTACATGTTCAAGTAGACCAGCGTGAGGGGCAAGAAGCAGATTCCCCCCAAGGTCTCTGGATTTGTGCCCAAAGTCTCTGGGAAGTTACTTGAGCCTGCTGCTCTGTGGGCTTACTTTGATTTTTGAGCTGGTGTTTTCCTGCTGGAGAAGCTTGGGCTGGAATGTGGAGCCAGAGTAATACAGTGGGGTGGCTGTTGTGTGTCTGTGATGCTGAAAGAACATTCCTGTCCCTCTCTTTGACCAGAAAGGAGCCCAAATGGGGGAGCAGTTGGGGTTTGTGTCCCAGCCCACGACGGTACTTGATCCTTTTGGATCTGATCAAACCCCTGGCTGGAAATTCTTATGCAAGAGCACCTTGGTTAAGCTGTGGGGTTGTGTTTTAAATTGGGTTTGCTGCTTAATTTAGTCCAGACATAGCCAGAGTTATTAGGAGAGAAATAAATAAACCAAGCAGCTTATTTGGACTGCTAAAAGGTATTTTGGGTGGTCTCGAAAGGATATTCATATCATTAAAGCTGCCCTGTTTCTACTCCCACCTTCCCCCATATGGATGCAGCTCCCAGCAACAAAAAAGTGGGTTAATGGTTTGGCTTTTAGGGCAGACTGGCTGTGTCCACTTACAGGGACCTTTTCCTTTCACTTCAGTAGAAAATCGTGCCCCTGTTTGAGACACTTGAATGTCAAACTCTGAGGCAGACAAAGCCTTGGGGCAGCTGTGGGCATGTCAATTATTAACCAAATGGGGTGGCCCATGGGCTGCACCATCACAGCTTTAATGGTGATGGTTCTCATGCCTCACTTGGGTGGGATTGCAGTGTGGTGCATTGGTGGCATCCACCTCAGCTGATGATGTTTCTGGGAAGAAATGGGTGGCTCAGAATATGTCTGTTTTACCCAGGGGCCTCTCTAGCAGATGCCGTGCTCTGCCTGGGGTGGCTGAGCTAAGGCAGCTCCTGGCCTGTGCCCAGTGCCTGGAGGCTCCAGACTGGATAAATTCCTGTCCCTCTACAGCAGGTGGTGATTTCTGCTGGCCTGGGGCAGGCTGGAAAGCATCCCTTTGGGTCTCCTCTGCAAGGGAAGGACGTTCAGAGTCGCTGTCGGACAGTGGCGTGAATAGCCGACCGTGGGTGGGGGTCTCTGCCCACCCTGGGCTGTGCTCAGTGACATGGAAAGGTCCTGGCACAGCTCTGCCTGGCCAGCCTGGCCTGATGGGCTCATCCCCACAGCCTGGGCAGCAGGGGAGAGGGGAAATCTGCCCCTCTGCCCCCTCAGGTGAGACCCCCCCATCCTGCAGAGCTGCCTCCAGCCCTGGGGAACAGCACAGGGAGGACGTGGAGCTGCTGGAGAGAGTCCAGAGGAGACACCAGGATGATCAGAGGGATGGAGCAGCTCTGCTGGGAGGAAAGGGGAGAGAACTGGGATTGTTCAGCCTGGAGAGGAGAAGCTTTGGGGTGACCTGACTGTGGCCTTCCAGGGCCTGAAGGAAGCCAAAAAAAGGGTGGAGAGAGACTATTCAGAAGGTCCTGGAGGGACAGGACAAGAGGCAATGGCTTCACACTGCCAGAGGGCAAGGATAGGTGGGATATTGGGAAGAAAGTCTTCCCTCTGAGGGTGCTGAGGTGCTGGCCCAGAGAAGTTGTGGTTGCCCCATCCCTGGAAGTGTCCAAGGCCAGGCTGGACTGAGCTTGGAGCAACTTGGGCTAGTAGAAGGTGTCCCTGCCCATGGCAGGGCAATGGAATGAGATGATCTTTAAGGTCCCTCCCATCCCAAATCATTCTGTGGCTCCCTGATTCTGTGAAATGCAGCACATGCACAAGAGCTTTGGCACAGGAGACCCAAAGAAGATGCCCCGTGGTGGCAGGAGGAGCTGCCAGGGTTGCCTGGCTCCTTTCTCTGCTACTGTGGTTTTTCCACAGAGCAATCTTTTTCCCCACTGGTGTTGCTGTAAATGCCTGAAACATATAATGGACTTTCAGGGAGACTTACCAGAGATTTCTCCCCCCCAGATGTGGGTGTGCAGTCAGTGGGTTTGTAGCTCTTCTGTCTGTTTTCAAGTGGTGCACAAGGCACTCTTCAGTCTGTGTCTAAGCTGATCAGAAAGGAATCTGGGACTCCTCTGTGTCATTTCCTAACCCTTAAAGCCAATTCTGCTTCCTTTTAATTTCTGGGGTGCTTGTACATGTGTCAGGAAAAGAGGAAACTAGTGAAAACAGCATTAATCAATGAGCAAAGCACTCAAAATACTTTCCAGAAAGAAAAAAAAAAAAAAAAAAAAAAGAAGACAGAGAGTAGGGATCTCCTACATTCAGCTGTTTTCCTTTTGGCCCTTGATAGATTTCAAATTCTTTATTTAATTAACTAGGAATTTGCCTGGATTACAGAGGTTATTCCGTTTCAGATACTCGATTTCATACAAGGATAATTTGATCTTTGAATAGGAAATACTTGAATGTAGCACTGTAGAGTGCAGCAATAGATCTACTTTTTTTTTTTTTTTTTTTTTTTTTTTTTTTTTTTTTTTTTTTTTTTTTTTTTTTTTTTTTTTTTTTTTTTTTTTTTTTTTTTTTTTTTTTTTTTTTTTTTTTTTTTTTTTTTTTTTTTTAAGAATTAGTATTGGTAGCTGTTTTTATTCCTGGGCTAATCTAGACTTTCCAAAGCATTCACCATCCTCTTGAGTGTTTGCTGAAGGGTCACTCTGGGATCTTTTCCACAGATCTCCCCTTGGAGTACATTACTCATCACCTGTGATCAGTCAGCTGAGTGCTGGTGTATCATCATCTTGGCTTGAATTGGATAAGCCAGGCTTTAAAAAACATGATAAACAGGCAGTAACGAAGTTCTTGCGTGAGTTTTCAGATGAGCCATTGTTTTCAGCACAACCTGGGAAAGGCTGGCAGTTTGTTGGTATAGAATGAGAAGGCTGATGTATAAAGGATTTTAATAATGGGATTTCAGAAGAGACAGTGAGGAGAATTTGCCTCCTGTATCAGTGAATCACACTTTGGGGTTTCTCATTAGGTGTAGCCAACAGTTTATGAACTTTGAAAAGTAACTTCTGAATGACATCCTTTGTGTTTATCGTAATTCTAATGTGTTTTGATTACACACTGCATTAACCTCTGCTTAAATCAAGCTTATTAATCATGCTGAGAAAAGGTCGTTAACATCTCCCAGACCAAATGCTGTATCCTCAGCTAATTATAACTAATTCATTAAAATGTTGTGACCTGTTTTCCACTGGGATGTCATCCAGGATGCAACTCTTGGCTTCTTTTAGCCTTATAAAGCCAGTGCATCCTGGGCTGGTTTGAATTTAGAGGACATGCAGATTTTCTGGTTTTTATTAACCTTGCTCGAGATCTGCCACATCCTACTTACCCACTATGTTATAAAGACACTAAAAACCCCAAACCAAACAGAAAACAGCTTTCCTGCTACGTTTTTCTCAGATAGCAGGACATTTATTTGCCTCCTTGCGATTTGAAATACCCTTTTACAGTTCGCTTTTACGCAAAGGTGTGCTCTGAGGCTTCTGGTGATTTCTGGAGCATCCTGGGGAGGGAGCAAGAACTGCCAGGTCAGCAGGGGCTGCTCAGAGTGCCCTGGTCAGTTGGTAAATGAATGGAAGCTCAGTCATGGGGAAGGGGAGGAGGTCCAGGGTGTTGTCCAGGTTGTGGTGGAAGGTGGTGCTGGGGCAGTTTTGTGCCTGTGAGGGTCAGGCCACTCTCTGGGGTGGGTGACTGAGCCACTGCTTTGCCCTCTGAAGCCTTTTCCCCGTCTCTTGCAGACCCACCAGCTGGATCTCTCAGCTCACTACCTGCGGCTCAAATTCCTCGTGGAGAACCAGCTCCAGCTCTACGTCCCAAAGCCAGAAGAGGAGATCTATGAACTGGTAATGCAGCCCACGGGGCAAAAATGAAATGACACTTGGTAGGACGCTATTAATTAGCGTTTATCTGGCATTGTGGAACGCAGAGTTATGCTTTTTAGCTCGCAATTACGGCGCTTTGCAGACCATGGCGAATTGGCCTGCAGTAATCTCTGCAAACATTTCGTCTTGCCTTGGTGTTCAGCTTGTGTTTGTGCTGTTGTGTGTGTCTGTGTGTGGGGGAGAGAGAGGAGGAACAGCCACAGGTAATGCGTGAAAGTCACTTTAATGTTACGTTTCAGCTCAACTTCCCTCAAGGTTGTCTTTTCCTGTTGCTCGTATTGTCCATGGGGAGTTTTAAAGATGTAATGTTGAGGCCTGGGCACTTGTTGTCAGAGTCACTTTGATTTTTAAAGAGGGGGAAAATACACAAGTTGTTGTTTTTTTTTTGTTTTGTTTTTTGAATTTTTGGTGGTGTTGGGTTTTTTTGTTTGTTGGTTTTGGTTTTTTAAAATTATTTTTCTTAATGGGAAAGTAAACACCGAGGTTAAAAAGCTCTGGAGTTCTGTGTGAGAATATACTTTCTTAATTGCTTCAGTTGGCTGTTTTCATCTCATTCATCTCAAAAGCAGACTTCAAAGGAATTTTGCCACGAGAGATTAAAAACAGACCAAACAGGATTAGTGTCATGCTTTAACTCTGTGATTTTTTACACATGCACACTGTAAAGCTTTTTAAAGTCCTTTTCACTGGTGGCTGTTTTTACTTATAAAAAGTTAAAATTTTGCTAGTTACGGGGGTTTTTGTTCACTTAGCAAAGAAGTTCTGGGATTTTCCATTAACACCAACAGCAACAACAAAAAAAAAGGTGTGAGAAAGTGCTAGTGGAGTGCTGAGACTGGGAAGTGAAATAGAATTGGGAAAAATTAAAACTCAGAGGAGACAGATTTTAGCTTTCCTTGCCTTTAGTGACTTGTCTTGTGTTGAGAGGATGGACGATTGACACAGTCATCACTTACTGTTTGTTCTGATAAAATGAAATTAACCCCCAAATCAGTCACTGGGGCTGTGTAAGTGCTGAAAGGTTATGGTATAGATGAGTGCTGCAGGATTATGTCTAATGTACTAATACTAAAACAACACACATTTGTGTGTGTGTGCTTGTTTCACGAGAAGGTTGAAGCTACTTCCACAAACTGTTCTGCAACACCTGATTTTTGCAGCTGAACGGATGTGCAAGTGCTGACAGAAGAAGCAAATAAAATAAAATTGTATTTTTATCAGGGAAACTTAAGCTCCTCTTCTTTTTTGAAGGAATGGTTTACATACTTCAGTCCAAGCGCTGATGTCACTTGGTTTCAAAATGTTAATTATTGCGAATTGCTATTTTCCACACTCTCAGCAGGGTGGAAGCAGAATTAATATTCACCTGTGGGCTCTCATTCACCTGGGGCATGATTTTTTTTTCTGAAGACCAAGGGGTGGTTTGTTACCTAAGTGCTGAAAGGCAGAGGGAATTGCACCTGGGTGGAGGGGCTTCTGGCCTGTTACCTAAGTGTGAATTTGTGCTGGGCTCCCAGGAAGGATGCTAATGACCATTTCAAAGACTTGGGGGCTTTGCTTGGTTACAAATAAACACAAGAGGTGTTAAAGGGGAAATGTCACGCCAAGACGTTGTAAATTTGATAGCCCTCTGACAATGAGGAAATGTATTTAAGAAACAAAATCCCCCCTTGTGATTTTAGTACTCTTTAATAATTGAATTCCTGCAATGTCTTCATTAAAATAATAGAAACATATTAAATTATCACTACCCATAAATTGGGAAATGAGCAACAGAAGCTCTGTTTCTTGTGCACTCAAAATGCTGCTGACTGAGGGAACGGGATGTGCCCTTGCTGTTATGATGGTGGCAGTAAAACACCACTTCCCTCTCTTTAGCTGTGTTCTGACAGCAAAGCTCAGTGATGCTACAGATGCCCCTCACACAGGTGGAGAAGAAACTGTTTGATAAATAACGACCACGGTGCCTTTTTTCCCCCTGTAATTAAAAAAGCAAAAAGCTGTTGCAAACGATTTCAATTGATGTGTCCTCCCACAGTAACATACTTTTTTGTTTGTGTGTTGTTTTTTCCCCCCCTTCTTTTCAGCTGTACAAAGAGATAGAAATCTGCCAGAAAATCACGCAGCACATTCAAATCGAGAAGTCTGATGCGTCCTCTGATATTTATGGTGAGTTTCTCCTCGGCTTGTTTTTCTTTTTTCTCCCGAGTCAGTTCCAGTGCTGTTATTCACTGATACACCTGAAAGGTCTGCTGAGCACAGAAGGGAGAGCCCATCTGATTCCTGAGCCTGCACGGGAAGCATCCACCTGCCCCGCAGCAGGACAGGTTTTATTTGTAGGGCTTTCATTTCCCGGTGCTGGGGCTGGAGGATGTGCAGCTCTCCGACGAGAGCTGCAGTGGCAGAAAGGACAAATGTTTGCTTGTTCTTGTGGTTTCTCCAAAACACCACCCACAGAAGGCGTAGGTGGCAAGCAGCATCCTCTGCCAGCTGCCACCTCTCACAGGAGGTGCCTGCAAGGGGGGCCCTGCCGTGGGCTTGGCACTGGAGCTTTGAGCAGTGCCAGCAGGGTTTGGAGGGCTTCCCACCCCCTCACTCCTTCCACTTTTTCACCCCTTTACTCCTTCCACCTCTTCTACCTCCTCACTCCTTCCACCTTTCCCACAGCTGGGAGTGTCCCTGCGGGTGGGAGGCACCTCGAGGTCTGTGGCTGTCCCAAGGCAGGCTTTCCACCTCTTTCCCCACCTGCCAAAGTGGGTTCCTGCCTCGCCCCAATATTCCCGAGGCTGGGGGAGCCTGGCCCCAGCCCTCAGGGATGTCCTGTGGACTCCCGGAGCCGGAATCTGACACATCCGACAGATCTGTGCACAGAACATAAAGCAGGGGGAGTCCTCCCTGTGTAATTTCAGCAAAATCTCTCATCTTTATGTAGAGTTGTTCATACTCCTTTTTAGCTTTCAGGTATTTCAGGTTACAGACCTCCAGCCTGGCGAGTTTGCCCTTTGGTCTGGCAATTATAATCCTGGGCTGTGTTTTAAAGTTATCTGTGCAGCCTACCCTGCAGGAAGCCAATCTGCATCTTTCTGCTGTTTATCTAAAGGTTCTGTTTTAATGACTAGAATAATTCTGAGTCCCCAAACTGCTTATTATACAGCTGCAGGCCATTTGAACATTGAGCTCTGCTACAAAGCAGTGGCTCTGACTGTGGCTTGAATATTGAAGGCCTAAGAAAGAAATATTAAGCAGTGGAGGGATGGCCCCCCAGGTCTGATAATTATGTTGTGCCTGAAAGCACTGTGAGTGATGAGGGTGTTGTAGCATTTCCTGTTTATTTCTTCTTTTTTTTTTTTTGTTTTTCCAAGTGATAAATGGGAAAGACCGTGAAATGCACTGTCATGTCCTGTGAAATGAGATCAGCCCTGTGAGATGTGGTTGTGCAGTGGCTCTGAGCCTGCGGGGAGGGAATCCTACAAGCACCCCAAAAACCTGGTTTTTCTCTCACTGGAAGAAAATGGCAAAACTCACTTTGCCTCCAAATGGCAGAGGAATTTCTGTAGTCTGTTTCTCGTAGGGGCAGTGCTCTGTGTCCATACAGGGACAAGCTGGTGCTGAAGTCATGCAATCCTGGGATGGTTTGGTTTCGAAGGGACCTTAAAGATCATCTTGTTCCAGCACCACATGGCAGGGCAAGCTCACCTGGGAAGGTTTTGCAGTGTTTCTACTCCCACCAGTGTGCCTGTGGTAAGAGGCACTCCTGGAGTGCGTGGCCAGTGTTTTGGACCTTGCCAGTGCTGGATCTCTCCGTGGGATGCTCTTGCTGATGCCTGGGCGTGTATGTTCTTGCCTCTTTTGCTGGTACTTTTTCCCCTCTTTGCCAAGACTGTGCAGGCAGAAATCAGGGTGCACCAGCAGCAAGAACCTGTGGCTTCCAGCTCCTCTGTGTCCCAGGAAGGTGCTGGCATGTTTATCAGCATCTGGCTCTCAGAGTTGGGTTTGATCAGGTATTGTGCTGGTTCAGTGAGGCCACGAGCGCTCAGAGCTGCAGACTTTTGTTCTCCTGTCAGCAGAACTTGGCGGTGAAGAGAAGGCTCTGTCTGGGTCACCACCCATCTCTTCCCACCTGCGTTTCAGAGTCCGTGCACAGTTTGATAATAATGTTTTTGGCAGGAGTGCCAGCTTATGCAATCACTGTCGCTTCCACCCACTCCTGGCCCTCCTCCCCCTGCGATGCCAGTCCACGTGTTTTTTTGTGGAGCCCCTGTGGAATTCAGCCAGATGGAAACTCTGCAGTCCTACTATACATGTGTATATACAAGCTGCACACACATACACACACACACACGCTTGGCTGAGGTGTTTCTCATCTGGGTGGCAGCAGAAGCACTGGCACTGCTGTGAGACAGCCGTGCTGCTGCTGCAAGTGGTGTTTGAGACCCAGCCACTTCCACAACTGTGGAAATAAAACAGTTTATCCTTGCCCATCTCTCATCTCTTAAAGCTGATCACAGCGTGTTTAGTTGCTCCTTTCACCCTTTCTGCCAGCAATAACTGCTTGGGATTTATGGGTAGGACTGGAAGATGAATGAAGAGGCAACTAACTACATGTGCATTTAAACCTGATGGATTGAAGGAGGCAGAGGTCTGATCACAGAGGAATCATAGAATCCCAGAATGGTTTGGGTTGAAAGGGTCCTTTAAAGCTCATCCAGTGCTACCCCCTGCCATGGGCAGGGACACCTTCCGCTAGCCCAGGTTGCTCCAAGCCCTGTCCAACCTGGCCTTGAACATTCCATGGATGGGGCAGCCACAGCTTCTCTGGGCAACCTGTGCCAGGGCCTCCCCACCCTCCCAGGGAAGAATTTCTTCCCAATATCTCATCTAACCCTGCCCTCTTTCAGTTTGAAGCCATTCCCCCTTGTTCTGTCACTCCAGGCCCTTGTAAAAAGTCTTTCCATCTTTCTTGTTGGTGCCTTCAGGTCCTTGAAGGCTGCAATTAGGTCACCTTCTCTTCTCCAGGCTGAACAATCCCAACTCCCTCAGCCTTTCCCCATAGGAGAGGTGGAGCTTGGGCATCCTGATCTCCTCACAGCTCAGCCCCAGTGAGCTGCAGCTCAGCCTGGTTTTAACTGTGCAGTGTTTGGCTCCAAACCAGCGTTTCAGTTGCAAAAGGGTGGTGGGATTGGGAACTGATCATTTGTGCTGACTCAAACTGCAGTCTTGGGCGTGCTCTGCTAAGGTTTTCCAGGTAGGCTTTGTGGTGATGACAGCCAGCAACTACTATATTTTAACAGCTGCTCTTTTAGTCGAGGGGTTTTCTCTCTGCCGAAGCTGGAGTGTTGAGTGAGCTTCACAAATTCTGTTTGATTCAGCCTGGGGAGCTCTCATGCCGGTTCCAAGTAGCTCAGGAAGTCATGGAAGGCCATATGCTTCTCACTTCTAGGCTGCCACGTTCTTCCCCCTCTTTTCTTCTTCCTTTAATCATGGATAAAAAAATAACTCTCAGCCATAAGGATCAACTTGAAGGGAATCCCAAAGTCAGAATATGCTCCCGGTACATCTGCACCTCTTGGCTGGTGGCTGATTCCATGTCAAACAAGGGACTCCCCCCAGAGGTTTGTAGATGTTTTTCTAGTCAGAACAAGAGAGAGCAAATGGTTGCCTGCACTCATTCAGGGAGCAGTGAAGTTTCAGAAAGGCAAATGTTCTGCTTTAGATAACTCCCAACAGTAAATAAACAACCCTCCTTTGACCAGGCTCCTTGTATTTCCTTTACACGTTGTTATCTTGCAGTGTCACACACAAATGGCAGGAAAGTCACCCAAACAAAACGTAACTGGACCATTTGCACTGTGTAAATTAAGGCTGTGTCAGTACCTCCACTGTAAGGCTGTTCTGCGGGGTCTCTTGTGTAGCAACAAAAGGTGCACTGAGCTGAGACTCGGCAAAAAACCTGGCGAAAAACACAGCTCGTGCCATAAGCAGCTGAAAATGAAGGGGAAAAGAGAAAGTAGCATTTTTACCAACTTGTCCAGCCCAGGAATCTGAAAAAGTAGAAGTCAGCCCTGTGCTTTAGCCGGAGGTGGCGTGCCTTGTCTGAGTTCGGGGTGGCACATCAGCCAGAGCTCTCCCACTCCCAGCTGCTGTCGGTGTGTGTCCCAAACCACGGCTCTGTGCAGCTTTTGTCTGCAGACACCAAAACCTCCTGAGGAGACCTTTTGTGGCGGCAGAATTGGCAGTCTGTTCCAGTGTTTTGCAGCTGTGTTACCCTCGAATGAGGCTGTAGTTGATTTATATATATAAACTCAGAAATTCAGGTTTTTTCGTTCGAGCCGCTTTCATTGTTTGACTTTCCCGTAAAGTCTGCAAAGGTTTAAGGGAAAGGGGAAGGGCTGCTCGCTGCTGGGGCACCACAGCCTGCACTGTTAGTGTGTGTGGTTGTCAGGACAGGCTTTTCCTGACCAGCTCTCTGGGTCTCTCCCCAGGTTTCTCTCTGTCCTCCGTGGAAGAAGAAGGGGTTCGTCGGCTCTACGTGAACGGCGTCAAGGAGACAGGCCTAGCTTTCAAAAAAGGTAAAACACTCCCCAAAGTGGTTTTGTTACTGTTGGTTTAACCCTGGTACAGACCAGGGGCTTTTGGGAAGAACCTTTGGTATTGGATACAGGGCTGCCTTGCTCTTGGGATCAGCTGTGCTGCACAGTCAGCTTCTCAGTTTGGAGCTGCTCTCTGGGTGTAGCAGGGTCAGCACGTCCCCTCCAGCCAGAAAGAGGAGCAGAGGCTCTCTCAAGTGAGCCACTGCAGCATCAACAAATACAGTGGAAGCATCACAGTGCTCCCAGTGGTTGGGATTGCTGCCTCTGGTTCTGCTTCCAGCCTTTGCAGTAAGCACGGCAGTGCTTGGACCAGAAGCCAGCAGGGATAACTGGGCTGCCAGCTCATCCCAGGGCAGAGCAGGATATGGTTTAACAGCCCTGGCACTGCCATGCCCTCACTGCTTTTCCCCTTCATTGCCATTCCTGGTGTGCCAGGGCTGCTGCATGGAATGGGCTGCTCAGGGAGCTGGGCAGCTGAAAAATAACCATGTTTTGAAGTAGAACGTGGGCAGCATGAGGAGTGAGGAGACGCAGAGTCCTCAAAAACACCTTCAGGGTTTTCTTGGAGAGAGGTTATATGGTTTTGCAGAGCTTATTCAGCAGTTGGCTGTTGCCAAAAGCTGTTCCAAAAGCTGATCTGCCCCATCCCTTGCCCTTGTATTAACTCTGGCACTCTGAGCCAGCCCGGCTCCCTGGCCTGATAGAAAACTGCCGTGGCAGTTTTTGTGATCCCCTGGCAGGTGGAGCTGGTTTGTGTAGCAGGGAACGAGGGGCAGGAGTGGCACAGTGCAGGGACAGCAGAAAGGGGGAGGGAAGAAGCAATGGTCAGGGGATGGGGAACAGCCTGGAGTTTCACCCAGATGTGACCTCTAACCCCAACTTCAGAAAACCACACAGGTGGTTCTGGAGGCTGCTGGGTGGGTTTGTTAAGCTTGTCGAGATCATCTTTCTCTTTCCTGTCCCTCGTCACCCTGGGTTGGCCCCATACAGTTCCCTGGCTAACAAACAGGATGAACATCCTTCCAAAAGCCCTGAGCAGGGGCTAGGGGGGCTCTCTGCCAGCCTGCCACGGGGAAATGGAACCCTGGGGGCTTCCTGTGGGGAGCAAAGCAAACGTGAGGGTGAGGGTGGAGGGGGGTTTCAGCAGGGCTTCCCTGTTCTGCTTTTAGTTACTGTTTGAAGAGCAGCTTGAATGGATGTGTGATCACAGACTGCCTCCTGTGGGGCTGGAGCGCTAAAACATCTGATGAAAACTCAGGATTATGGTGCTCTTTAGAACTGATCTGAAAAGCCACTTCTGTATGAACAGCACTTGGCAGGAGATTGTGACAAGATACCCTGAGTTCACAGAAAGCAGAGTGGGGGGGAAACTCTCTCTGCCTCCCATTATTTACATGCATGTCTACATTTGACTGCACTTCCTACAGTGAGTCTCACCAGATGAGATACTGCATTTCATTTTCAATCTTTTCTCCAATTAGAAAAACTTTACTTTCTCCTAGTAATTTTTATGATTTATCTTTTCTGTTTTCTTCTGTTGGTCTGTGTTAGGGAGACATTCTATGGTTGGAGTTTCAGGTCCTTGACCATACTGAGACAGACACGATGCTTTATCCCAGATAATTCAAAAAAAGGTTTACAAAGGGTAAATGAAGCCCTAGATACAATATTTATGGTTGCAGGCCTATTAGTGTGCTACTACTGTGCCACAGAATCACTAAGTAGAATAAATGAAATAATGCGAAATGCTTGACTTGCCTTTTTTAGTTCTTCTTTCAAATATGATTTTACAGTCCATTTACTTTGTAGCTATTCTATCTAGTTCACTCTATTCTCTCTGAAACCACACTCCACACTACAGTTTCTGGGCACAATTACCCGAATTTAGAAAGATCTCCATTTTTTCCTAGAGAGGGCTGAAGCTCTTTAGCCTCTTCCCTTCCACGTTTTTCCGTGAATGTGGGTTTCCTGGAGGATGTGTTTCCTGGAGGATGCAGCTGAGCTCTGCTCACAGCACAGGCTCATCGACTCTGGCCTTTCATCCAGGCTTTAAAGGTGGCAAGACTCACCCTCTGCATGGCTGCCCTGCCAGAGGACTGGGTGGCACGAGGGCACTCACCTTGGACCCTGTGAATTCCAGCTCTCATCCCTTCTAAATGCCAGGATGGGTGACCAGGATGATCCAGCATCCGGGGCTGTCAGCACTGGGTGCACCCTGACTTGCTGCTGCCCGCCTGACCCTAAAGTTTATTTGGGATTAAACTCTGGTGTGCAGCGTGTTTGGTCAGAGAGTGGGCCCAGGTGGCAGTGGAGAAGGTCAGGTTTCCTGTGTCCCGTTAGAGGGCTGTACATTGTCCATCAGCATCACTGCCTTGCCCCTGGATGTGCAGGAGTCAGCTGTTTCCTCAGCAGAACCCCCTTTTCCCTTGGGCACTGCTGCTGCTATAAATAACTCCTGAAATCAGGCTGATAAAAAGCCATGACTAACTTAGCAAGAGCTCAGCCTTGCCTTTTGAAGATCCGTGTGCTGGGATGGGATTCAAGAAGGGCCGGGGGGGACACCCTGGTAGGACTGGTAGGCCTGGAGGTGTGAAGTCCTGCACCATAGCAGAGCAGGACACGTTTTCCCTCCTCCTCAGTGTACAGGCAGGTGACCGCTTCAAATAAGAGCTTATGTAGAAAGTTAAAAGCAAGAGTGGAGCCAGCCCAGCTGCTCCAACCTTCCCCCATCCTGTGTGCAGCACGTCACAAGTCCGACTGTCCTTCTGTATCTGTTTATTTAGGAGTGATGTGTTGTGTAGAGGGGTGTGTGGCACAGCAGCTGTTCCCTTGCAGAGTGAAGGAAAAGGTGATATATTGTTGCTGGTACATTGTGAGCAGATCTCACAAAAGTCCATCAAATTCCACCACGATTTGCAGTCGTAAATTATTACTTCATGTCTAGACAGGCGCTGGCACTTCACACGCACCCGGCTGAGCTCCTTGATGTCTGTGGGGGGCATTGCTGTGCGAGCCTTACCTGTTCCCCCCTCTGTCACAGGCCTGAAAGCCGGTGATGAAATCGTGGAGATCAACAAGAGGGCGGCCGAGGAGCTGGACTCGGCCCTGCTGAAGGACGCCCTGGTGCAGCCCGCGCTGTGTCTCACCGTGCGCACCCACCCCGACATAGAGGAGGGGCAGAGGCTGCTGCAGCCGCCCCCACGGCGCCTGGAGAACCCGCCCGAGCTGGGGGACAGCACCCTGGTGTTTGCTGGGGGCAGCCAAGGTACCGGGCTGGGTGTGGAGATCGCCAGGAGGAGGGTGGGTTCGCGTTTCCCACGTGCTGGTGGAGCCCCTTTGATCCCTGCGTGTGAATTCCGTGGTGGGAGGGAGGGAGGGAGGGAGGGAGGGAGAGGAACTGCACTCGGAGTGCTCTGGTGCAGATGATGCAGGGGTGGCTCTGGGAGCTGTAAGGTGTCAGCAGCGCTGCCAGTGAAGGATGGCTGTGTCCATGGCCAGGCTGTGACACATCTGTTGTCACCAAATGCACGTCACATCCTCCAGCTGTGCCCGCAGAGAACTAATGGCTCGCCTCTGGGCAGCTCCAGGAGGCGCCTTTACCTCGGGATTTGCCCACAGGAAAATCCAGGGAAGAAAAAGGGTATAGGCGTTCTGTGTGCAGTTTTGGGCACCACAATGTGAGAAAGATCAAAAGCCATTGGAGAGTGTCCAAAGCAGGGACATGAGGATGGTGAAGGGTCTGGAAGGGGCCGCACGAGGAGCAGCTGAGGGCACTTGGAATGTTCAGCTGGAGAAGAGCCTGAGGTCAGAGCTCACCGGGATCTTCAGCTTCCTCCTGAGGGGCAGCTCTAATCCCTACTCTCTCTGACCAGGGGCAGGACCTGATGGATAAAAGAAGTGGTTGAGAAGGAGCAGGGCTGCCTCCTTAGTGGTTGCTAAGCATGACCACACAAGGCATCAGTGTTGGGAATTGCACTGGGGTAGCTGGGAAGCTCCTGCACCGTGTCTCCTCTTACCTGCCTGCTTAGTCAAGTCTTACTTGCTCAGCTTCTAAATGCCCCCCTGTTCCTGAAAACAGAAGAGGACACTGGTCACACCTCTTTGCTTCAGTTTTATTGGAATAATGGAAAATGGAAAAATTAATGCAATGGCCAAAATGAAGTTGTTTCCAGCTAATCAAAACTATTCTGAGCTGAGGTAAATCCTGACTTTCAGCCAAAACTAAATGGCATCTGGATATGTCAAAATACTTGTTTGTTTGGTTGGTTTTTTTCCCCCAAGCCAAAGGTTTCATAAATGTCAAAATAATTGTCTTGACAACTATGAAACTTGTTGGAATAAAAAGCTGGAGCAGGCACGGGGCTGTTGATGCACTTCACTGGTGTTGTCAGCCTTCTCCCAGGACATGACCAGTTGCTGCAGTCACCTGGTGTAAGGGATTCTGGGATGAGTCCAGGTGCAAACTGGAGCTAACCCAGGATGCTGTGAGGGCATTAACATGATGCTGAGCCCGAGTGAAGGACCCACAGGGAAAAGCAATTTACCTGGGCTCAGGACCAAGCTGAGTCATCTGCAGGCAAAGGCTCAGGGAGGTGCAGCCTGCTGCAACGTTTCAGGATGCTGCTCTTGTTTTCCTTAAAAACCTATTGTTTGAATCCTGTTATTTGTCAGGACAAGGGGAAATGGCCTCAAGCCACACTAGGGGAGGTTCAGTTTGGAATCAGGAGGAATTTCTTTATGGAAGGGATGGCCAGGCATTGGCAGGGGCTGCCCAGGGAGGTGGTGGAGTCCCCATCCCAGGAGGTGGCCAAGGAACAACTGGCTGTGGCACTCAGTGCTCTGGGCTGGGTGACAAGGTTGGGGATCAGTCAAAGGTTGGATTCAAGGATCTCAGAGGTTTTTTGGCAACCTAAATGATTCTGGGATCCTGTAATATTTCCTGAAAGAGATCTAACAAAAATGTTTAGCTGATGGGAACATGTAGTGGGGAAGGGGGAAAGCTGGGCTGGCTGTGGGAGTGGGATATTCACAGCAAGTGGAATAGGGGAACGAGAAAGCTTCAAAACCAGCTTATTGCAAAACCCCTCTGAGGGGACTGATAAAAGCAACCTCATGTAAGAATGTGGGCTAAACCCCTTAAAGGCAGTTAAAATTAAACATTTTCAGGACATTTTCCCCTTTTAACTTTAATGGAAGTTTTCCCAGTTAGGCTTTTGTGCTGAAAAAAAAATCGAGGTAGCCGTGTACGTTTTTATAGATGGCCACAAGATGCCCCCATTCACTCTTTAACAGCAGCTCTTCACAGGCCCCATCCTCTCGTCCTTGCCTGTGCTTTTTCACTGAAACTCAGAGCACTGAGTCCTCACACCTTATCTTTTCACTGAGTGTCTGCCTAGGGTGCAAAGAATTGGGAATTGGGACTCTTGTATTTACAGGACGTAGTGATTCCTGAGGCAGAGCAGCGACACGGGGTCTCAACAAGCAGTTTCTCAGCCACTGTCAGTTCTCTGCAGCATTATCTGGAGGGTCTTTGAGGGTCCTTTCCCTTGTTTGCCAAACGTGTCTGAGGATCCCAGCGCGTGCCAGCTCCTTCGCCCTCCCTTCGAGGCCATGGGTGGCACAGAAGCTGGAGCTCTCCTGGCATTTGCCTTCCTTCAAAACACAGCAGATGTTGAGGTGGGATTCACCTTTGTTGCTCCTCAGGGGGGAGAGGGATGTTTCTTCAACCAGCACTAGCTCATCAGCAGGTGTGGGGTGTCTCTGGCAGCTTCTGAAAGCACCTGTAGTTGCCATATAGAAGAGGCCTCTGAGGACGGTGTTCAGGTGGTGTTTAAAGCTAAACTACACCAGTGCTCTCAGTTGGGATGACTTAACCTGAGGTGGGAGTGAAATCAAGGATATGCACCCAAGTGTGCAGGTGGTTTTGATCTTCCCCATCTATTTCCCTCTACTGAGGCGTTTGTAGAACACACAGTGTTCCACTGGAGCTTTTCTACCACGCAAAATCTTAAAAAGAGGACTGAAAAAGAGCTTTTATTTGGTACACTGTGGCTGTATCTTAGGTTTATGGTCTCAGCTTCTTGCAGAGAGCAGCCAAGTATGAAATACCCACTGACCTATTTATTTGTGTCCCTGTTGATTCCAGGCAGTTTGGCTGGTCAGGCAGATCAGCTCTGTGATTCCTCTCGAATGCTTTATTTATAGCACACAGATTCTGTCTTTGGTCCTCGAGCAGTGTAGCCTCCCTTTCATCAGGGGGGTGAAACCCTGATGGGCCAGAGTGCCAGCAGATAAACATCACCTGTAGGCACATCCATTCCCCACAAATCCAGGATCCAGTCGGCTGATCGTGCTGATGTCTTATCTTTACCTTCCTCGCAAGCAATTCTTCATCAGCTGTGAAGGCACCAAAGGGCGTGAGGCAAATCACATTGTGTATTTTCAGTAGAAAGATGCTGTTGAAATGCTGTACAGTTTGTTTTTTGTTTTTTTTTTCGAGGAACCTTTCCTGTTGCCTTGCTGCTCAGTGTGAGGTCTTCAGGAGCAAAGCAGGGCTGTGTTTGTGGGAGTCGACCTCCCTGCAGTGACTGCCAGTGCTCCTGTTCAATCCAGCATCTCTTGCAGCTCTTTCATCATCTGGAGCTCCCTTGTATATGCTGAGGTTGGGGGCTAGAGCTGCAAATCAACTCTGTGGCAAGCAATTACTTCTCTGTAACTTTACTTAACAGTTTGTTCTTGGAATGCCCTTGGATTTTTTTATCTCTGATTGATGTGAAAAGTATGATCTTGGGTATGATTTATACTTCCCCCGTGGAATTTGTGCTGCATCGGTCTTTGCAGAGCCACAAGTTTTGTTCCTTTCATCTCTCACTGCTTTTCCTGCCTCTCAGTCTTCCCTCCTGCATAAATTTGGCTGGGGAGGATTAGCTCTCATTCTGTCTGGAGCCCTGCAGCAATTTTTCCTCATTGCCCAAAAGGCTCAGTGTGATCTGTCTCCCCTTCCCACGAGGGAAGTGTTTTGTCTCCCCACTCTGCTCCCCTCAGTCCAGGGAGCGAGAGGCTGAAACCTGGAAATCCAGCAAATCTGCCTCAAATCTTCAAGAAGGTATGTTGCTATTAGAAGGAGTAGTCTCCATATTTGTTTGTGGTCTCCCCACTGTTCGCTCCCTTTTCCTGCAGTTCAGGCTTTTCATGCTCCTGTATTTTGGAGACCTTTGGCATGGGGGGATAACTCTGCAGGGATGACTGGGAAGTGTGTAGATCACCGTGCAGAATGGATAAATCTAAAAAAGAAAGTGCCCCCCTGTTTGGAATGGCTCTGTTTTAGACAGGAAACACCCAGGTGTTTTTAAGGATCTGTTATTTTGTTCTTTGCAAAGCACCCAGAGGCTGAAGTTACGCGCTCTAAAGTCTGTGGTATAAAGCTGAAACAAACATTTTTTGCACTGTAAGGATGGCCACTGTTTTTTATTCCATCCTTGTCCTGTCATAGTACCCCCTGGGATAAGTAATTTGGATTTCAGAACGAGCTGAGGCCAACAATAACTTTAATTTCTTCAGGGTTATTTTCACGAGGAAGATGTATAATTTCAGGAAAAAGTGCTGTTCTCATTCAGTGCTTGATCTAACAGTTCCAGGAGCATTTCCTGCTGCAGCCATCGGAGGGTTTTGGGGTTACATTTACATTTTTCATCCCAAATTCCCAAATTTCCTGTGGTGCTGCTGCTCCCCCTGCCGGAGTGAGGATGGTGTTACTGAATTCCTGATGTCCCCGAGCGTCTGAGCACACTCCTCATTTGTATGCCTATGAAAAATCCTGTTTATTCCCAACGGACTCCTCAAGCACTGACTCAGCTCCTGGCCTGGGGAGGGTGGGAAGTGGCCACAGTACAGTTGTTATGGGGAAAGTTTCGATGAATCTGCATTTTTCCCAAGGAGAGGGATTGAAGTGAATGACATTCAGTGTAGATTTTTCTGTATTTGACAATTTATTACCATTGGAACGGAAAGAGAAGCTACAGAGTTCCTTCAATTCAAGAAAGACGTGGAGGGGCTGGAGCGTGTCCAGAGGAAGGGAACAGAGCTGAAGAAGGAGCAGCTGAGGGAGCTGGGGGGGCTCAGCCTGGAGAAAAGGAGGCTCAGGGGGGACCTTCTGGCTCTGCAAGTCCCTGACAGGAGGGGGGAGCCGGGGAGGGGTCGGGCTCTGGTCCCAGGGAACAGGGACAGGAGGAGAGGGAACGGCCTCCAGCTGTGCCATGAGAGGTTCAGGTTGGACATCAGCAGGAATTTCTTGCTGGAAAGGGTGGTCAGGCCTTGGCAGGGGCTGCCCAGGGAGGTTTGGAGTGCCCATCCCTGGAGACGTCCAAGGAAGGACCGGAGTGGCACTCAGTGCTCTGATCTGGGTGACAAGGTGACAGTTCCCTAACAATTTGTATTAAAATGTTCTGTTTAATGGCAGAGAGAATCCCAGAATAGTCAGGGTTGGAAGGGACCTCTGGAGACCACCCAGTCTGGCAAGGCAGGGTCACCCAGGTGACACAGGAACGTGTCCAGGTGGGTTTTGGAATGTCTCCAGACAGGGAGACTCCACACCCTCCCTGGGCAGCTGTTCCCGTGCTCTGCCACCCTCCATGGAAAGATCTTCCTCATGGTGAGGGGGAACTTGTTGTGGTTTAGTTTGTGGCCAGAGCTCTGCCTTGGTGTTGTGTGAGCTGTGTCAAACAACTTGTTCAAGAGGCTGAGGCACCTTGAAGGTACAAACCAAAGCTTTCAACCCTCTGAGCATCAGGCATTGCAGGCACATGGCAGCCCCTGCCAGCACATCCTCACTGCTGCCAGTGGGAGGATTAAAGGCAGCATTGCCCATTCCACATCCTCGGGAATTAGATGCAGGGCTCCTGATTTGTGGGCTGCCTTTGGTGTCAGTGGAGCTCACTCATGTTCCTTTGCTAGACTGGGCTCTGCTCCCAGGGACAGGAGGAGAGGGAACGACCTCAAGCTCTGCCAGAGGAGGTTCAGGTTGGACATCAGGAGGAATTTGATGGGCATCAGCCACAGTGTCATGGATGTTACACCAGCTGAGGCAACCTGGGTGCTTGTGTGACCTCCATCTGTGCTGGTGGCCGCGTGGATTTGACGCCCTTTTCCCTGCAGCTTTTTGGGTTTCCCTTTCTAATTCCTTGATGCCAAGTGAAGGCAGGGAATGGCAGCGGTCAGGCAGCATTCAGGGGCTGCCAGAGGGAACCTTCTCCTCCGAGCTCCTGGCAGAGCTAAATAAAGATTTACAGGGCAAAAAGAAGGTGATGTAATGAACCTGACAGAAGTGGGACGGTAACTGGGAGGTATTAACAGGCAGGAACGTGCAGCATTATTGATCTGATTGCGTTTAACAACCAGCAGATAAAGCTGCTAAAGTCGAGTTGGCTTTGGCAGCTGGGGACAGCAGAAATACCCTGAGCACAACGTGGTGTGTGACTGCTCGAGTGAGAGATTGCTGTCTGCTGGGTAAAAAAGTGTTTGCACTGCAGGAAACAGATTAAGTGGCGTTTTAACACTCAGGAAGAGAAAACGTGGTGGCTCGAAAGCAAAAAGCAGCCACCACCCCACCCCTCCCAACGTAATTGCCTTGGTTTGGGGTGAGAAACCACTGTAAAGTGTGTTTCACACAGCTTGTAATGGGAAATTAATTGCAATGAAGGAAAACAGACTGCCCCACACAGATTATGACACACAGCACTCCTTTTCTCTTATTTTTGAAGTGGACGGCTTAAGGGCTCTAAGAATTCGTTTTCACACGTGCTGCACTCCATCCCAGTGTGCAGAGTATGTTCTGACTTTATTTCTCAGTTTCTGAATTCCAATTTTTCCAAATTATTTCCGGACACAAAAAAGTGGGAATCTTGCACAGTCATGCCAATTGGTTTTGATAATGGGATCTAAAAGGGACACCTTCCACCAGCCCAGGTTGCTCCAAGCCCTATCCAACCTGTCCAACCTGGTCTTGGATGCTTCCAGGGATGCAGGGGCAGCCACAGCTTCTCTGGGCAACCTGTGCCAGGGCCTCCCCACCCTCCCAGGGAAGAATTTCTTCCAATATCCCATCTAACCCTGCTCTGTGTCAGTTTGAAGCCATTCCCCCTTGTCCTGTCACTCCAGGCGTTTGTAAATAGTCTCTTTCCATCTTTTCTGGGTAAAAGGAATTAGTGTGTGGACTCAGCTGCTGTAAGATGTCTCTTTATGCTGGCTTGAGGCACACAGGAGATTCCTGGCAGAGTTCAGTCCATCACTGCTCAATGTAATTTGCCATAGCTGGGAGCTGGATGGATATAAAATTTGGTTTTATGTGAAAAGTGGCAAAGGTGTAACAACACTGCCTCTTACAGCTACCTGAGTCAGAGGAAAAGTCAGAACAAAAGTTATTTGTGCACAGAGCTCTGGGGCTGGGATTAGTTCTCTTCTTTAGTCACTTGCAGGTGACAAGAAGTCACAAAGGAGTTCCCAGCTGTATCAACAACACAGTCTCCAGGAGAGTGCTCAGGGGTGCAGAGTTATTGCCATGTACTGATGGAAATGAAATCTAATGTTCAGTTAATGTAATTGGCTCCTAAAATTGCTAAAACTGGGTTTGCTCCCTTAAAAATCAACACAGAGACTCAGAAGTGGGTGTCTTGGGCCAAAACTGCAAGCCATTTGGAATCATCTTGCCTGACTTTAACCCAGGAGAAGGGCTGACCAAGGTTTGCACAGCCCAGAGCTGCATACCAGAGTGTCCATTTGAAACCGCTGAGGTGTAAAGGTCCTTGGCAACTGCTCACCAGCCAAGGAACGAATGCTGAGCCTAAGAATTTCAATGTGACATTTTAGCCTTATCTCTGAACCGGCTTTTGTGGTTTCTGACTAAATAGTGTGTCTGGCCATAACCTGTTTATTTTTACACCTGTTGTTAAAGCTGGTGCTGTAAACCCCTCCTGTTGAGGTCACTGAGTGCCGGCGGCACAAGGTCCCGTTGGAATGTGCTTGTGTGCGGGATGTGGGGCCTGGCCCTCCACGGCGGCTCTGTGGTCGCACCCGGGTTTTTTGGATTTTTGGGGGGGTTTCTGGCTGTGTTTTCACACCTCTCCATTTTGGCAGGGCACTCCCTTTGTGGTGACCCGGACAGCTCTGCCGACACAGCTCCAGAGGAGGCGGAAAGGCAGGACCTGGAGTCGTCCGACGAGGCCGATAAGATGAGCAAGGTGAGAAAGGTTCATTTTCACGTGGAAGCTCAGTGCAGCCACAGCCCAGGTGCTGGTTAGAGCACCTCTCCTGGGAGGGCTCTGATCTTCCTTTCGAGGTGTTTACGGATGAGCTTGAATGGAACAAATGACAGCTTTGATTACGGCACATCGCTTGCTCCCTCTTAAGCAAGACTCGTGCCCTGTTTCCAGGGTCAGTTCACGTCTCCAGTATCTTGTGATAGTGTTTCCACACAGTTTTTGGACGGGGCTGGTTCATCAGCTCCTTCACCAGAGCCAAACCAAAAGATCATGTGGATTATTATGATTTCTTACTCTTCCTTGATTGCTAGTGATGCCACAGAGCTTTTTTTTTGATTTCTAAACACTAGGCACAGGAGGAACGTGAGTTAAACTGTATTTCCTTAAAGCACACATGCTGGTTTTTAAATGCAAACTAATCATCTACCTTAAACCGAAGCAAAACTCTCCAATTATAACTAAGAGCTTGCACAAATGGGTTTCTAATTGCCATCGATTAAGGGATGGTTTCGCGGTGGTTGGCAGTTCACACTCGCTGCTGGGGGAGATTCACACGACAGTAGGTGTGATGATTAGTGCCTTTTGAGGCAGAATCGAGTGAGATTATCCTGAAGGTGCTGATTGCTTTTAGGTGTTTGCTGCGTAGGTGACGGTGAGATCTTACAGCCGTTTTTCTACGTAATTAATGATTTAATGAGAATCAGAGCTCCGTTTTTGGATGTTTTCTCTCAGCTCTTGTTTTAACTAAGATGTGTTATAGAGAGCTCTGAGCTGGTCCCTTGTGCTACATTACGGTAAAGAAAGGAAGGAAAAGACCTTGGCCTCTTGTTTCCTGATCCCTTATGTCCTCTAGCCCGTGGTTTTGTCTTTGATAGGCAGACAGTGGAAGTCAGATAAGGGAAAACATTCCAGTGCATGAAATGCATGTAGAGAAGGTGATCACTCCTACAGTTTGTTACCAGGGTTTGTTACAGATCTTTTTCTTGTAAGTACAAACAATTCCTTCTTCAGCGAGCGGGAGTGTTTGTTGATACTTTGGGATTTTTAACTGTAAATATTTGGGATTTTCATAGGCTCTGAGCAGGGAGCCTCTCCTGTCAAACGCCGGAGCTGTGGCAGAGCACTGAGCATAACACATGGCTGCTCGGGGGATAAAGGTTCTCGCCGTGTTTCCCGTGGCTTTCTATTTCTGAGCTGCTCGACAGGCTGTGGGGTTCCATTTTGCATCCCGGCTCCTCGGAGCTGGAGTTGCCTGAAGGAAGGCGCGGGGATTACACGATTAGCTCTGCGGGCTCAGCAGATTTAGTTAAACTGAGAAAATTCACGTTAGCGGCTTTAATGCTTCATATTCGCAGACTGGCAAAGTAACTCCTGCCTCTGAGGAGCCTTGGTTGCCAACGGGAGGAACTTCTTGCCTGCGTGTAAATGGAATGTCGACATCACCGCCTGTTTTATTTCGAGATGCATCACTATATTTGTGTGATGTAGAGGGGGGTGAGGAGTTGCACTGGGTGTTCCATTTGTTGTGGGACAAACTGCTTGAAATGGTCCTTCCTTAAAAAAAAAGGACAATGTGCTCAGTTTTGGCAGAGTCACGGATGCTGCTGTCCCTGCTCACGTTAGAAGAGCTCTGTGCTCGGTGGCCTTCCTTGCTGGTTCCTCCCTAATGAAAACTACAGAACCCCCCCTCAAATTATTCTGCAGTGCCTACAGACAATTCCAGTATTGTGGTAGAGGGGAGGAAAAAAAAGCCCAATCAGCAGAAGGGTTTTCCTAATCCCTTCGCTTTTCTGAGTGCTTGGGGAAAGCTGATCTGCTTGGGAAGCAAGGATCCTGCAGTTGGTGTTTTTCCACGGGGAGCCACCACTGGGCTGGTGCAAGTGAGGAGAAAAACAAAGGTGTTTTCCTGTCTGTGCACTCCCACACCTTTCCACGCTCCTGGGATTATGGCACAGAAGATTAAGCCGATGTCCTCAGCGCTGTTTTACAGGGGTTATTTTTGTACGTGGGAAGGGAAGGGCTCTGCCCTCGTCCCACCAGGAAGGGCACGTTCCCCCTTATCACCGTCCCGGCCACAGCTTCCAGGCTCCCTTGGATGGTGGAGGTCAGGGGAGGCTTTCTTTACATTTCTGCCCTTCTTGGCTAAAGCAGGGCAGGAGTTTTTATCCATTCAGCTCTGGGCAGCAGAGGAAAATCCATTTTACCTGCGTGGGAGCCTCCCAGCCAAATGCAGAGCTCCCCTTCTCTCAGGGCAGAGCCAGGGTTAAAGAGCCCAAAATAGCCTTTGGGGTGTCCTTTGCCGTGTGATAACATGGTCCTGGGGCAGGGCTGCATCCTGCCAACCCCACGGCTGCAGAGGGGGACGGCTCCCAGCTTCCCTGAGCGATCCTAGGGGAGCATTAATAATTCATGGGAAGAGGAGAGGAAGGCAGCGCCGCAGCTCTCCTCCATCCGCTCTCCTAGCACGGGCTTTGTGTGAAGGTAAGCGCTGGGAAATCCTACCAAAACCTGGGGCTGGGGGACTTTTTTGGTACCTTTCTCACGCAGGTGAGAGGTAGATGGATGTGTCTTCGAATGTGTGTTCCCTCCTTCTCCTCCTTTTCTTCCTCCTTCTCCTCCTCCTCCTCCCTCCGGCTGTCTCTGTCCCTTCCCCCAGCCCAGCATGTGTGCACGTGGGTGTGTGTTTCCTTAGCAGTGGGTGCATTTGTTTCTTAATCTGCAAAAGCCTCCAAGCTGTTGGTGTGGTGGTGAAGGATTGGGAGGGTGCAGCAGTAGCTCCGAGGATTCCTCCATTTTCTGCAAAGCGTGGTTTAGGTGTATCCTAAAGGGCTGGTAACGTAGAATTTGCCTCTCCATCAGTATTGTAAAAGTAATAATTATATATGTATATAGTATATAATAAGGAAAATGAGGTGTCCACAGAACTGTTCTGATAAAATACTAGAAACCCGTTTCCAAGGTGTCAGTGGTGTGGGATAGCTGTTGTTCTCTGGACTCACCCCCTATCTAATTTCACCCTCTTATCTCAGGTTGAAATCTCCGTGAATCCTAGCAAGTAGCTTTCTGGGTGCAACCCTTTTCCTTCAAGTCATGCAACTGGCAGTGGCCTTCAGTTTTTCTACAGGTTGCTTTGCTCTGGGGTGAGCTCCTGGCTTTCCTTTCCCTATTTCATGTGGGAGCCAAGGAGGACGGAGCTGGGAGGGAGAAGAGTGGGGGGCAAAGGAAAGCCTGTTCTCTGCCACCTCTTCAGGCCTGATTCTATCTAGCATGTGAACTGGAATGTCATGCTGTTTATGACAGGGGATGCTTCTCTGTCGATCTCTATCCAACAGAATACCAGAAACATTTCATACCAGCGTAATTTCTTCAGTGGTTACTTCCCTCTGTGGTGACCTGATTGCTTTGCACTTTTCAATATTGTAGAATAAACTGAGGTTCAAAGGAGGCACCCTGAAAACTGGGTATATGTGCAAGTTCTTAACACTGCATGTTACCAAAGGCTGAGACAGGTGTTGTGCTGCATCTCAAAAATCAATCTTTCTGCATATTTTTTTTCCTGCAATGGCGCTTTGAATTTACGGGGGACGTGTTTTAAAAGGGCGTCCCCAGTTAAAATCCTGCAGGACACTCATTTCTTCCCCTTTCTAATTAAAGACATCTGCCTCTTGCATTAAAGGCTAATTACCTCGCAGCCACTTGTGCTTGGGGGAGCTGTTGTGATGGGCTGTGTGAGCACATGCTTACACCATTCAGAGAGATTTTTTTTTTTTTTTTCCCAGAAAGTAGGTCGTCTGCTCTCTGCAGCGTTATTCCAGACCAGAATTAAGTCTCCAAACCTTCGATGTGTCGCAAAATAGACGTGAAAGGATTTAAACAGGGATTTGAGGGGTCGGTAACTGGCTCTTTTAAGTTCTTTTAATTCTGTCCCTTCAGATGTTTAATATTCCTCGGCAGCGCCATTCGGAGCCAATCGGCTCCTGCTCAGCCACAGGAATATCAACACACATTGATATTCCCAGGCTGCCTTTGCTGCATTTCAGCCTCTCTGCTGAAGTTTCCCTCTGAAAGCAGCGCTGAGGTGTCTCAGCTTTTCCTGGTGCCTGGCTCCTGAGTTCCCAGGGATGCTGTGGTGAGCGGGCGGCAGAGTGACACCCACGGGAAGGCTTTGCCGGGAGAAGGATTGGGTGGGCACTGCCCCTTCCCCGCCGAACTGCGGCAGCGATCCCAGCTGCACGCCGAGTCAGGAGCACAGGGGGCACCTGTCTGGAGTGGGAAAAGCCCTTTGGATCAGCTGGGTATGTGCAGCACTGGGATTTTCCTGCTGGATGAGTGACAGCCCTGGCGGTCCTGCCTTCCCGGCGATGTCGGCTCCTTGGAGGGTGACCCGTAAGCTCAGGACCGAGGGCGCTGGGAGAGACGGGGACTCCCTGTACCGTTTGCTGTACCTGGTGAGCAGACCTGCTGTGCTTCGCTGATGGAATTAGCAGTTACAGGGGGTTTTTGTGAGGTGTTAATTTTGGGGTGGGGAGTTTGAGGCTGAGCTGTAAGGCGTGTGCCCTGCTGAGGCTTTTTGTGGCTGAAGAGATGCCTGAGTTTTGTTGGGGTGCTTGCCAGCCCTGGTGGAACACAGGGTGCGCTGTGCCATTCAGGAGGGCAGTTGCCTGATGCCCAGGCACCTGTACATCTTTAAGCATGAGAAGTGGCACTCTTGCTTTCAAAGCAAGGCAGCCAAAACTCCCAGCCCCATGCTTGGTGAGTGTAAGGGCTTGATCCTCCTGAATGATGGGAGGGATGTGAGCTTAGCCCCTCTGCTGAGTCCCCCTGCAGAGGAAGGGTTACTCCACTTCACAGCCCAGTTGTGCCAGCCCTCAGCCTCATTTTGGGGTTGCTTGAAGGGATTGCTTGCAGAATCGCCCTTGAAGTGTGATGCCGTAATTCTCCCGGAGAAATCCTGCTTTAGTGCTGTCATTGTTGCAGCTGGCAAGCAGAGCTGGTGGAGGGAGATAAAAGGATCTGCTTCTGCTCCAGACCTTCCCTGCTCTATCCACTTTCTTTGGGGAAATGGTGACAGGGAAGCTTTTGTGAAATCTGTTTGGGAGGATTCATCAGAATAGCTGTGTCCTGAAGCACCCTGTGTGCAGTAGAAATTGATTTTTTTTTAAAAGGAAATACCAGGTAGGCAGGATTATGTTCAGGAATGAAATGCAGCAGCTGTCACGGGTGGAGTTGTGCGCTTCAGGTGTAACACAGAAGCAATAATTTATTGATATAAACTGGTAATTTTGCAAAGTTTGTTGGTCAGTGTGACAGTGGTTTAACAAGACTTGATGGTTATTTATTTACACTTGGTTATTTACTGCATAAAGGGCAGGGTCAGATGAAGTGGTTGGGGGGGCCTCTCTTTGAGTCCTGAGGTTCAGAGAGGACCCTGTTGCTTTCTGAACTCCTTTAGCTGCAGCTGGATCCACTCCTAGTCCCAGGCTTGGTCAAGGGTTTATGTCTAAAGCCAATCCTGTAGATCTCCTGGCTAAGAATTCCAAGTCTAGCATGCTGCTAATCACTAACCAGGAGTCTGTTGTGGCAGGGGAATCCCTGAGGAGGAACCTTGAGAGATGTCCCTACTCTCCCTACTCAAGAGCAGATCCTGGTGTGCAGCTCAACAGGCCCTGGAATGTCCACTATTTATGGATTAAGATGGTTGATTTATGGTCAGATTTGCACAGGAGCAAGACATCTGTTCCAGACAGCCCTTGACTGCTGTGTAGCTGTGCAGCCCCCAAAATCCGGGGGGGAGCTGGGTGGAGCCATCACAGCCCCCACTGGTGGCTGTGGCTTAAGTGGGGAAGGGGACAGGGGTGACACACCACAATTGCAAGAGAAAAAGTTTGTGAATTATCGTGCTGGAGACTTTTTGTGTGTCCAGAGAGTATGGGGTGAGTGACAGGTGGGCAGTTCTTCAGGAGAGGCAGCGTTCAGCCGCTGCTGGAGCCCAGGGGTGGTTTATTAAGTGTGCAAGTGGAGATAAGGCTTTGGGAAGTCTTCTACGCTTCCTTTTTGGCATGTGGGTGTAACTGCTCCTTCTGGGGCAGACCACTGTGCCTGTGTGAGTTACCCAATGTTCAACTTCAAGTGCTTAGCTGGTGTTTCACACCCTAAGTAGATTTTCACTCTCTCTTTCTGGGTGACCCATCTTTCCCTGCAACTTACTGCAAGTGCATGCCCAGGGTGGGGAGAAGCCTGTGGGGTTGAACTGCTTGAAACACTTGGTTTATTTCTGGAGCTTGATTCCATATTGTGTTTTACACATTACAACTAGTTTTTTATCTGTACATTTGGACCTTAAAGCGCGACACCACTGGATATGTCTTCCTCAGATATTCTTTTACAAAACAGGATTCAAGCTAAACATTTCTGAGCAAATCCCTGTGTATCCTGGGTCTCTGCAGGCTCAGATTTAACATATGTGAACTGTCAGTTCTGTGTCCCTTTCCAGCAGAGCAGGTAATTTGGCAGGGTTTGTTTTGCCTGCACTGGAGCCAGGCTTTCACCTACTGCCTTTTGGGGGTTTGGGGCTGTTGGGATCAAGATCACACCTATATGGAAATGCAAAAATAATCTGAAAGTTTGTGTGTGCTTTATACTTAAAGTACAGTGAGTATAGGTGTAACCTTGCTGAGAAATAGCAGGAATTATGTTGACTAATAAATCTTAACTCTGTGACGTGTGCCATTACCAGAAGCAGAGTTAGCTGGAAGTAGAGTGTTTTAACTCACTGCTTTCTCCTGCCCTCAATTTACAATATTTTTCCTTTCTTCCACATCTGAGTTAAACCTCAGAAACTGAAGGTGCATATTTTCCCTGTAAAAAAGTGTGTCCAGGGGGCATTTTTTTTTTTTTTTTTGTATAGACAGTCAGTCACAGTTAGTTCCTTGCTTCCACTTGGGTCCTGAAGAAAATGATCCTTTGCATAATAAACTCTTTACTCATATGCTGTGAAGTGGTACCTCTTTGTGAGCATTTGTAGCTGTAAGAGACCTCTAAGGAAAGCAGCTGTGTAAGGGCAGGAAATCCTTACTTGTCCCTAGCATGGACTGTGGGTGGAAGGAGAGGGAAATAGCTGTGTGTGAGCAGGTTGTGTGGCTTAAAAAAGGCGGAGGTTTTTTGGCACTGCCAGCTGGTGGGAGTGCAGTGATCTCCCCAGGGGTTCGGGGCTCTGACTCCAAACTGTGAGGTGGTGATGTGCTTTATTCTCTCTTTTCTGTATTTTGTTAGTTTGTCCTCCTCCCTTGCATTTCTCTGTTGGAACAGGCTGGTTTTGGGTCAGTTGTTTTACAGAATCACTGAGGTTGGAAAAACCCTCCCAGCCCCTCGAGTCCCCCCTGTGCCCGATGCCCACCTTGTCCCCCAGCCCAGAGCACTGAGAGCCACCTCCAGTCCTTCCTTGGACACCTCCAGGGGTGGGAACTCCAAACCTCCCTGGGCAGCCCCTTCCAGTGCCTGACCACCCTTTCCAGCAAGAAATTCCTGCTGATGTCCAACCTGAACCTCTCATGGCACAGCTGGAGGCCGTTCCCTCTCCTCCTGTCCCTGTTCCCTGGGAGCAGAGCCCAACCCCCCTGGCTCCCCCCTCCTGTCAGGGATTGCAGAGCCAGAAGGTCCCCCCTGAGCCTCCTTTTCTCCAGGCTGAGTTCCCCTAGTTCCCTCAGCTGCTCCTCACAGGACTTTTAGTATGAACTGGAGGGCTATAGAGGCACTGCTGGGAAGTCACTGCATCTGGATTAAGATCCCATGGTGGGATTAGAGAGTTGTGATCCAGTGGAGCAGCTCTTTTCCCTCCAGGTCTCTGGGAGGGATGGAGGCAGAGCACACTACTGCTTTGGCAACCCCAGGAGCCTGGGGCTGTGGTCACTGACACCAGAGGCTGTACCTGCTCCAGACTTTTCAGTGTAATGAAAGATGTGAGAAAATGATCAAAGACAAGGAGGTGAGGCAAGGATAACTGGCTTTAATATTTAATCAGATGTCTACGTATAAAGAAATTAGCTTGATGCAGCAAAACGTGACTTCTGGGGAAGAAATTCACCCTGCAAGGCATGTTTCCAGGCACAGATCAAGTGTTACAGTGACTCTCCCAAAGAACTCGTGTTTGGAGCCTGGAGAGGCTTTGGCTCCCTGGATGGCTTTGCTTCCCCAAAAAACAGCTTGAATGGGTTGTGTCTCAGCGTTGTCTCCTCGGCTGTGTTGGCACAGCTATTCCCAGGGCTTGGAGCAAGCAATTAGGGAACTGGCAGAGGGCTGGTGTCTGTTTTTTGTTCGCACAGTCGTTTTTGGTCCCCAATTCTTGGGCCTCTTTGTTACAGTTTGTCAATCTCGATTGCCGGACGAGCCTATTTTAATTAAAATTCTTGTACGTCTGAAGCCAGGAATGCTGTTGAACAGCACCTCAATTAATTTGAATTGTGCAACTGTTTTGCTTTTTTTTTTTTTCCCCCCTTTATCCTCAGTCACTGAGAGACAGGACAGACACTTCTGGACTTCGGTGCCTGTTAAAAAAGTCCCCAAACTGCTAAACTGCAAGCGCTTCTCGGCTCCGTCCTTCCTATGGCTCTTACTTAAAATATTACCGCCGCTCTTTCCTCTTCCTTCTTTTTTTTCAAGAGCACAGAGCAGGTCGCTGCTTTCTGTCGCAGTCTGCATGAAATGAACCCTTCTGACTCCAGTGCTCACCCTCAGGAATTTGCAGGACCCCAGCTGGCCACCATGAGACAGCTCACGGACGCAGACAAGCTGCGGAAGGTCATCTGTGAGCTGCTGGAGACGGAACGCACCTACGTCAAGGTGAGGGGGCTCCACCTCTTGCTTCAGTCTATGGTTTCCTGTAAAATTGTGTTGGTTTTTCTCTAATGCTTCAAGTTCTGCTTCGTGTTAGTGAACTTCCATTCAGTTCTGCAGTCTGACCCTAAAATAGTCACTTAAACCTCTGAAATAAGGAGGCTTTCCAAATTCTTGAGCTGCCGTTGGGAAGCTGCTCAGCTGGTGCGCAGAGGGACACTGCTCAGTGATTTTGGGAGTAAAACTGTGTAAATGGTTAACTTTTACCGTCTTCAACTCTGTGAGATCCAGCAGTTTTGTTCCTGTGTGTGAAAAGTTAAAATTCTCAGTCATTTTGCACTGGGTGATCTTTGCCACTTCAGTAAATGTCCATCTTTTTCTGACTTTCCAGGACTTAAACTGCCTAATGGAGAGATACCTGAAGCCTCTACAAAAAGAAACGTTCCTCACACCGGATGAGGTATGCTGAGTGTCTTTTTTTGCCTGAGAGCTTTCACCTGCCCCTCTTCTCTGCCCACCCCCAGCTGCACTTGCTTGTCTGAAATTTTTAAGTTCACTTCTTTTCAAAGAGTGAATTTAGGAGGGTATAAAAGTAGTGCTCAATAATGTACAGTGTGTAGGTTGTTTTTTCCTGACATCACCCTGATTATACAACTGAGAGTTACTGAAGCTCTAGAAAACATGATTTAGTTACCAAGTGATTTTTTCAGCATTTTGCCTTTTTTCTTCTCTTATTAGCTGGATGTTCTCTTTGGGAATCTGACTGAAATGGTAGCATTCCAGGTAGAGTTCTTGAAAACTCTGGAAGATGGAGTAAGGCTGGTTCCAGACCTGGAAAAGCTTGAAAAAGTTGAGCAATTTAAGGTAATCTCATGGTTTACATTTTGAGGAGTCCTTTGACACTCCTCATCATATTTTTCTGCCTGTTGTCACTGTTCATTTAAAACCATGCAGCAACTCCCAGTCGAGATTAATTTTCAGCTAATACTGGTGCTGAAAATTATCCTGCTACACTTTAATTCTATGCTGCATTTAGCCATATAGAGCACTAGAAACCTGCAACACCATGTGCTTCTGGGTGCTATTCTTGCCCTTCTGCCAGATTTCCTGCCTTGAGCTGTCAGGAAAAGCTAGAAATGGAAAGTTACATAAAATCTTTGCTCTGACAAGTCTGATGTGCAGAAGCCCACTGGGGCTGCGGATCAGAACAGCACATTAAATTCTGTATTTGGACTTTTGATCCATGGTGGAACTACGAGGCAAATACTCGGAGCTCTCAGCAGATGTGCATCATCACAGGTAGAAATGTAAACTGCAGATATGTAAGCTTCATATAAAACCCAGGAAGATTTGGGAACAAATTTGGATTTTTTTTTTTTTTTTCTGATGCAGTTGTATTGGTAGTGGAGATATAGCAAGCAGCTGAGTGTTCTCTCTGGGGAATTTTACTCTGGCTTTGAGCACTCACCTTGGTAAAGGACAGGATGTCTTGATGAATAATTGTAATAATTCCACTGGGTTTCTCTTCAGCTAACATACAGCCCTGCAAGAACTACTGAAGGAATTTGTCTTTTTGTCCACGTGTGTCTTTGCCATTGGGAGTTTGTTTGAACTGAGCCTCGGTCATGAACACTGTCCTCATGGAACTAGAACACAGCTCTTGTTCTGCAGGAAATGTGCACTTAATGGAGAGCACAGAGACACCTTTTTTGACTGGAGGAAGCCTCTGTGATCACTGTGTGCTCTGAGCTTTGAGAGCAAAGTGCCAGAGAAGCCTCCTTATGGAGAGAACTGCCCTCTGAGTGCTGCTGCTTCCACCTCTTTCCATAAAAAGTGCACCAGCCTCACTCTCAGTTCTGCCCCCTGGGCACTGTCTGGAAGCAGTGTGTGAAATAAGGGGCTTTGGGGCTCCCTGGTTTCAGTTCTGCAGTTTGGTTCCCCCTCCTGCCTCTCTCCAAGCTGCCCACGTGGTGTCTGGTTCCTAAGGGGACAGCAGAGCAAGCACTGAGGAAAAGATAAGACATCTTGGGGGAGGACTGTGTTTGACCCCTAACACAAGCTCAGTCCAAGGAAGTGTTTGTGCAGCGGGCTGAGTGTTGCTTGCACAGCTCCTGAGTGTCTTGATCCATCACAAAGTCAGACACGTCCAGCCCTCTCTGTGGCCTCCGGCCATTACTGAGCTCAACAAGACTTTTAAAAACAGCTCTGGAGCTGAGAGCCTAGTCCCTCTGGAGTTAGCGGTGTCTACAGACTGGGACTTGGCTGATGATGTTAATTATTATTATAATTGTTAATTAATGTGTTAATCCACACACCGAGGCTGGGCTTGTTTCTTGGCGGATGAATCTCAGAATGGTTTGGGGTGAAAGGCACCTTCAAGATCATCCAGTTCCATCCCCCTGCCATGGGCAGGGACACCTTCCACTATCCCAGGTTGCTTCAGCCTGGCCTTGAATGCTTCCAGGGGTGGGGCAGCCACAGTTTTTCTGACCAACCTGTGCCAGGGCCACACCACTCTCACAGGGAAGGATTTCTTCCCAATATCTCACCTAATCCTGCCCTCCAGCAGTGGGAAGCCATTGCACCTTGTCTTGTCACCCCAAGCCCTTGTAAATAGTCTCTCTCCATCTTTCCTGTAGCTCCTTCAGGTCCTGGAAGGCCACAATTAGGTCACCCTGGAGCCTTCTCTTCTCCAGGCTGAGCAATCCCATTCTCTCAGCCTTTCCTCCCAGCAGAGCTGTTCTGTCCCTCTGACCAACTTGGTGGCCTCTTCTGGACTTGCTCCAACAGGTCAACGTCCTGGTGTGAAAACACTCTGAAAAATGCATTGTCCTGTGGAAGCTCAGTGGAAGCTTCAGATGAGGGGAAAAAAAGAACTAAACACTTTCACATGCTTTAGTTATTAATGCCTTTTTTTTAATTTATTTTAAATCCTAGAAAGTGTTGTTCTCCTTGGGTGGATCCTTCCTGTACTACGCTGACCGGTTCAAGCTGTACAGTGCCTTCTGTGCCAGCCACACGAAAGTCCCCAAAGTCCTGGTGAAAGGTGAGAGCCACGTGCTGGACGAACAGAGGGGGGGCCATTGCAGACACACCTCGGTTTGGGCTGGCACAGCTTGGCCTTGTAGATGGAGAGAGAGGTGACCACTGCAGCCCAAACCATGTAGGGCACGTTGTGGGGCAGCACTGGGGGCACCCATGTGCCTGGGTACTTTTCCAGGAGGGAATGCCTGTAATGACCCCTGGATCCCTCCTGGGATTGTTTATGCCATGAATCCTTTCCAGTGGCAATCCCACTGAATCCTCAGCCAGTGTGGTTGAATGTTGGCAGCCACTAGGAGAGGATCAGCCTGGGAGAATGTTTTATGGAAGCTGCCTCAATATTTTAACTTCACCGTGCTCCCTCTCCCCTCTCTTCTTCCTCTCACCTTCATTCCAGCTTGTCTGAGAAGTTTCCATGTCTGAATTCCTAGCTGAGATGGAGATAAATGAACTGTGGTCTGGATTATAAATGCTCGTGGGCCAACTTGCCTCAGGGTGATGTTTTGCCCCTGTGAAAGTGTTACTCTCTTAGAGTTACCAGTGCTTCATGCAATTCCTTTTTGGCCAAGACAGTGAATAAACAGATGGTTCCAGTTGTAGGAGCGATACCATTCAGGGAGGAGATCTTATTTTTTAAAAGCATCTGGATGTCTGGCAATCAAAGTTTTGGGGGTTTTTTGTTTGTTTTTTGGTTGGTTTGGGGGTTTTTGTTGTATTTTTTGTGTGTGTACACTTTTTCCTTTTTCATTTCTCTTGTAAATTTTTATTCCCCATGCTGCACAGAGTACTTGGCAGCTCTGTGGGATATATAAAGGAATGATTTGTTTCTAGTCACATCCATGCTTTCTCTTGAAATTGTTTTGTTGGGCTTTAATGTTATAGCCGTAGACTAGGTAAATCTGGTTATTTTGCTTTTATTTTTCTTTGCTGACTGTATATTTATAAATGAGAGATTGTTGTGCTTGAATTATGGCATAAGCAGAACATGAAATTTCACGCCAGAGATGAATCTCCCATCCAGCCTGGGAGTGTATTTCAGGTGTAATTTGGTGTCCTCAGCTGAGGTGCAGGTGGCTTTTGGCTTTGAAACTGAAGTTGCTTTATTACAGTCAGGTGATTGTAAATGAAACCACCCAGCCTTGGCAGGGGACATGACTCTAATAAAAGCAATTGTGTGGAATTGTTCCTACACTGAATAACTTGTGTGGCTAAAAATACCACCTCCTCCTTACTTCCTTCCTTATGTTCTAGTAGGGGGAGCAACAGAGAAAACAGCATTTTTATAAGTTCAGTAGCAGTCAGGTAGAAAAAGATGATGCCAATCAGGTGCCCAGGCTGCCTGTGCTCCCAAAATCTGCTGTCCTGGCATAAGTGTCCTGCTTTTCTGCCCCCTTGCTGGCTCCTGATGGTTGTTCAGTGCTGGGCCAGGAGTGTTGGACTGGATGATCTTTTTGGATCCCTTCCAACTCAGTATATTCTATTCTACCATGGACAGTGAAATTAAAACCTGCCTGTATTGGTTGTGGAGGTGGGTGCCTGTTTTGAAATCCTAAATACCATATCCAAGGCAAAGTGTCAACGACTCAAAACCCGGGGGGCATAAATCTAATCCCGTGGACCTGATAAATCTGCAATTCCTCGCAAAATGGCTCTGGATAAATTAACTTAAAGCCAGAAAAGTCACTTTATGGTTTGTTTGTTTATTTATTTATTTATCCAATGGCTTCATTTTAATCTTCCAGCCAAGACAGACACTGCTTTCAAGGCATTCCTGGATGCCCAGAACCCCCGACGGCAGCACTCCTCCACGCTGGAGTCTTACCTCATCAAACCCATCCAGCGGATCCTGAAATACCCTCTCCTGCTGAAGGAGCTCTTTGCTCTCACTGACGTGGACAGTGAAGAACATTATCACCTTGATGGTAAGGGGTGCTAACCCCACGTGCTTTTTTCCCCCCTGCTTAATTTCTGACCTGGAATCCTTCTTCTCAGAGGCTTAAATTTCCTTTTTGCCTTGTCCTGTCTCTCCTCCAGTGGCCATCAAAACGATGAACAAGGTTGCCAGCCACATTAATGAAATGCAGAAGATCCACGAGGAGTATGGGGCAGTGTTTGACCAGCTCATAGCAGAGCAAACAGGGGAGAAAAAAGAGGTAACAGACGACCAGATTTGGAGAGGAAAAGGCTGTTATTGTGGTGCCTGGAGCATGCACGTTAAACTGCATCCAGTATTTACCTTTCCTGTTGATCCCTTGAAGTGGATCCTGGTGCAAACAGATAAATCCCAATTCAATTCCAGAACTGTTTTTGCTTGTATAGTTCAGTGAGTGGGACCAATGTAAAGAAGGACAATCGACCTTTAGTGTTGTGATTGGGTCAAAATCTCATCCCAGTCTGGCCTTTCCCTGTTTTGATATCCTTGTCTTGACTCTCTTCTTTTCACACCAGTCGTCTGGCCCCATCAGTCTGAGTGGACTGACATGCTGAGGCAAGGCTGTCCTTGGCTCTTTAATGGCTTGGAAGAGATCAGTTTGTCACTCTGGGGGACCATAGAGAGAGAGAGAAGGATCTCTAAACTTTGCCCCAAACTGAGTATGTATGTTAGGGGCTGGGCTTTTAAGTTTTCAAACCAATTTCAAACCGTCTGCTTGGGAAGAAGATGGACAAAGGAGAATTGAAAAGGCAAAGAAAACATCTATTTTTTTTGCCCTAACTTCCCATCAAATTGCAAGAGATGTTCTGTGAGTTTAACTTGTCCTAATTCATGCTGACCAATAAAGGATCTACACGGATCTGTCGCTAAGTGCCGCAGTCTGTTTGCACGTGCTTGTAGCCATCTGATGAAACATTCCTAAAAGTCTGCTTGTGGGGTATTTTTTTGTTTGTTCAGGACTAAAGTTCAGGCAAGTTTCTTGACCTGGAAACTCCCACAAGATCCCTTGAACTTCATTAAACACTGCTGTCTCTGCTCTTCATGTTGGCAGGTCGCCGACCTTTCCATGGGGGATTTGCTCCTGCATAATACAGTGATATGGCTGAATCCTCCTGCTTCCCTGGGCAAGTGGAAGAAGGAACCTGAGCTGGCAGCATTTGGTTTGTACCCTACCCCTTTCATTTCAGATGTCACGTGTGCCTTAGCAGATATTTGTTGAAGGTAACTGAGCATTGCCTTCCACGAGGTTGGCTGGAAATTATAGCAGTGTTTGTCTCTTTGCTGCAATGGCCAGGTCTGTTCTGTGGTGATCTAAAACCGGTGAGGATTTGGGAGATTGCTCTATAGTGCAAGAGTTTCTTAAACTCATATCCAAGGCTATCATGAGCTCTATATCAATATTAGTGTATTTGTCTCTGAAAAGATATGGTTTGATAGTCCAGTCAATGCCAGGTAACTCAACTGCACAACCCAGCCTCTCTCTTACTTTAAGAATTATATCAAGTACTGCAGAATATGCTAAATTCTATTTGTTCCTAAATTTCTTCTTACACAACTGTTTTTTTACCTTGTTTCCGGAAAGTGATGCTGGTTAGGAAGCCAGTGATGATGATGATGATTATTATAGTTGCTATTATTTAAAGATGACAAATGGAGACTCTTTCAGCTTTGCTCTGAAAGAGCATGTAAAAATGTACTGCATTCCTGTAAGTTGTGAAAGCACCTGGTCATACCCTTCATGACAGCTGCTGGGAATTTGCAGCAACTCTTAATTACTCCCAGAATCTTTAAATTGGTTTCATAAAATGTCCAAAATTAGGTATCCCTGCAGTTCAGTCTGAAAACAAAGCGTGTGCTTGAGGCCTGAAGAAAGAGAGCACAAGGAAAACTGGAGTCTTGGAAGGCAAATTCCAGCTCCACGTAGATTTGGTGTGGCAAAAAAAGTACTGGGATTATGTCTCTGCCTGCCAGCGGTGCTCACTTTTTAATTCACATCCTGCCCATGTGCAGCCTCTCCTGCTGACTGGCCCAGTGTAGCTGGATGCTGCTTATTGGTCTGAGGTGAAATTAGCCAGGGGGATTAAAGTTTTCCAAATATTTGTCCAGAACTGTTGCTGTTTGAGTAGTTGTTCCTATAACTGGTAACATAAACTCTTTAAGTTTCGAGTGAGTTTGAAGTAACCTGGTTTTATGTAATAAAAGCTGTTGAGTTTGGGGTTTTCTGGGGAAGGATGTACAAGAGGGCTGGTGGTTTCTCCAAGCCCTCCTTCCCTGGCTCAGGTGATGGCTCAGGAGCTGGAAGGTCTGTGTGCTTGGGCGTTCAGGAGATCCATTCTCAGCCTTATGGACTCTCTTGAGGAGAGACTGAGAGCTGGGCCTGGTTAGTCTGGAGAAGAGAAGGCTGAGAGGGGATCTCATCAATCCACACAAATATCTCCAGGGGCTGTCAGAGGAAGGTTCCAGACCCTGTTCAGTGGTGCCAGTGACAGGACGAGGAGCAATGGCCATAAACTGAAACACAACAAGTTCCCTCTCACCATGAGGAAGATCTTCTCTCCATGGAGGGTGGCAGAGCACAGGAACAGCTGCCCAGGGAAGGGTGTGGAGTCTCCCTGTCTGGAGACATTCCAAACCCACCTGGATGTGTCCCTGTGTCACCTGTTCCAGGTGACCCTGCCTTGGCAGGGGGGTTGGACTGGGTGATCTCCAGAGGTCCTTTCCAAACCAGGCATTCTGTGATGTTGTGATTCTGTGACCACATGGCTTTTATCTCTAACTTTCTCCTCTAGTGTTCAAAACTGCCGTGGTCCTTGTATACAAGGATGGCTCCAAACAGAAGAAGAAACTTGTAAGTTGAGTGGCCTGCTTGGGTGATGCTGTGGGCGTTTGTGGGGCTGGGGCTGGGATTTGCTTTCCATAAAGCTGTGGAGCTGGAGTGTTCTTCTGCATGTGTGATCCTTGCTGTATGAGGTGTTGGGTGGTGCTGAGCAATGTGCTGTTCATCCTGAATGCAACAAACATTGCTTTACTTTACCTTAGCTCTCTGCTGGGCTAGTTATTCATGTCCCTGCCACATCCATTCCACTCTGGGGAGTGGGTTGTCATGAATCAAGATAGTGTGAACATCTCTCTTGTGTTTGATTCTTTGGTCAGTGCATGTGAAGCAAATATTTAATGTCTGTCATCTTGCTCAGTGAAACACAGCACCCTGGGTGTTTTGTGCCACCAAACGAGTGCTAGCTCTTCTCAGCTGAATTAGGTGTGCCTGCAGTATGGCTCAGGGATCCCACTGGAGTTTAGGACTCAAAGTTAAAGCTCAGCTTGACAGCAAGCCCATCCTACAGTTTTATAGTCCCACAGAAAACTTGGGATTCCCGCCTGTGGCACAGACCGAGGTGTGATTGGAAATGCTCACGTGGGTAAAGCCAGCTGGCCACAGGATGGACTTCAGAGCGGCCAAAGCAAAGCTAAAACGTGTTCCTGAGTGTATGTGCACCTGGAGGAGAGAGTGCAGCACTGGTCTGACTGACTTTGGAAGGCTGATGGGGTGCTTTAGTCTGGATTTTAGCAAGATCTTCACAGAGAGGGCAACTCAGTGAGAAAATCAGAAAGGCAGCAGGGTAGCTGTAGCTGGAAGCTCTCAGTGCAGAGCACGGGAGATTCTTGTGTCTGACCGTCCCAGGGTGTCTGGTTTCCTGATGGTGTTTTGAAATTCTTTCCAGGGAGGATCACATAGAGCTTCAATTTATGAAGACTGGGATCCGTTCCGATTTCGCCACATGATACCTTTGGAAGCCCTGCAAGTTCGGGCCTTGGCCAGTGCAGGTAACGTTCCCACTGCATTCTGGAAAAACAGGGCAAAGTAGTTGCTGACTCTGGTTCACTCCGTTCCTCTTCTGGAGATTAGAAGGCAGTTTGCAGTTGTGAGACAACAGAACTGGTGGGTTTTTGTTCTCACGGTTGCCAGCTTCGTGGGGAGCTTATAGGATGAAAAATGTCACAGATTTATACAGTTTTCTCACTTTCTAATGCATAAGTGGAAAGAACATAGGAGGTAGTTGTAAAATCATAGAATTGCCGAATGGTTTGGGTTGGAAGGGACATTAAAGCCCATCCAGTCCAACCCCCAACACCTTCTGCTGTCCCAGGTTGCTCCAGTGTGGCCTTGGACACTTCCAGGGATGGGGCAGCCACAGCTTCTCTGGGCAACCTGTGCCAGGGCCTCACCACTTAAAATGTGACAGTACTGTATGGAACACCTGAAAAGCTGGATTGTTTTTTGCTCATTTGTTTCAGGGGTTTTTATTGGGTTTTGTTTGGTTGGTTTGGTTTGGTTTTTTTGTTTGTTTGTTCGTTTGGGGTTTTAACTATTTTTATGGGACTAAGTGGGTGCATATAAAAATACTGCCAATTTAAGAGCCTGTTGTTTCATTAGTCACTTACCCACTGCTGCCTTTCAACCATGAGTTAATATTATTTGCACCTGTTGTCCTGGGTGGTCTTAAACCATTTCTTCAGGATTATGGAATAAATACTTCCAAGTTAAACATGAGAAGCTGTTACATGAAATTCTGCTTGCTTTTCCCTTTAGATGCAGAGACCAATTCTGTGTGTGAGATTGTCCACGTTAAATCTGAGTCTGAGGGCAGGCCAGAAAGGACATTTCACCTTTGCTGTAGGTAAGTTGTGTGTTTCCCTATTTTCCATGGCAGCTGCACCTCTGGATCCCAGTCTTTCCTTTAGGGCAGTCTGGGAACAGCCAGTAGGGGGAGCGGGGAGAGGGTGTAAAAACCTTCCTTCTGGCTGGCAGAATTTTGTAAAATCTCCGAAAATAAAGGCATATATTTGATCAGTTTTGCACCTCTATGGGAACATCCTTATTAGAATTTTCCGTTCACATCCAGTTAAACTCTGGCATTGGATCTTTATACCACTTAGCTGCTGGTGTGCCATGTCCAGCCGGTACCTTTCATGCCACCAGGTTCCAAAATCTGCCCTTGGGGGCATTGCCCTTTCCTTAAGGAAACATCCAGCATTGTTGTTGTCGTTGCCCTGACATGGTTTAAGAGTTCAAATAAGAACTTAGAACGCAAGGTCACCAGGATCCAGCAGAGCTGATGCCAAGCCAGTCCCTACTGTGAGGGTAGCAGGGACTTGCAGGACTTGTGCTTGGTGTATGTTCCCAGGAGCCAGACAGATCTGATGAGCCCCCACAGGTCAGCTCGATGTGTATCGGACACAGGGAAGTGCCTGGTAGGCGCTGGAGGAAAAGGAAACCTCGGAAGGGTGAAAGGTTAAATGTTTTGTTAATGAACTGTGTATTGGTTTCCTTGCATGCCCCTTGCAATGACCAGAGGTTTAGCTTGGCTTTGAAAATACCGTGTTAAATGGAGTCTTCTCTGGGGGGGAAGAGCCTGCCAGTCGATTTGCACTGCCTTAAACCACAGAACTGCTCATTATTTATCTCATTTACAGCGAGCTTTTAGCAGTTCCCAGGGGATAACGCTGCCTTTTTTTTTTTTTTTTTTTTTTTTTTTTTTTTTTTTTTTTTTTTTTTTTTTTTTTTTTTTTTTTTTTTTTTTTTTTTTTTTTTTTTTTTTTTTTTTATTCTCCCCTGTTTTTCAGCTCACCAGAACACAGGAAGGACTTTCTGAAGGCAGTGCACTCGATCCTGCGGGACAAACACCGGAGACAGCTTCTTAAAACCGAAAGCTTGCCCTCATCCCAGCAATATGTTCCTTTTGGTGGAAAAAGATTGTGTGCTCTAAAAGGTGCAAGGCCAGCCATGAACAGGGCAGGTACTGTAGGGCTACAGACTTTCAAGATCCCAGTAACCCCAGCACCGTTGTAGGACGTGTGGTGGTGTCTGTTACTTGTACAATTAGGATTAGCGTTCTCTCTCCTGTGTATGTAAAAACTGCTGGTTTTCCATGCTTCACCTCCTTGAGAGCCTTAAATTGCCTCTATTTACCTTGCTTTGCACTCGAGGCTGAGCTTCAGAGCAGCCCTTCTGGCATGGAAGGGAGAAATGGGGTTCCTGTCAGTAAAGGCTGTGCACTTTAATCTGGAACCGGGTTTCAGCTGGACAAAGCAGAAGCCCTGCTTGCCTGTTCCTTAAAAGCATGTACAGAATTTTGAGGTGACCCTAGCACTTTTAAACTAAAATGCACAACAGGGAAAAAGGTTTGAAGGGACAGCTTTGGATGTCCCCCCTTTCGGCCTTTGCAGCTCTACTGCTGGAGGGCTCGTGCTCCCACTTCTCACGTTTGGAGAAACATGCACTTGATACTATTATTTTTGTAATGGCCTGTCCTAAACCGTGGATTTTCCTTTTCAGTTGACTTCAGGCAAAAAAGCAATGAGAAAATCCCAGGGGGAAGCAGGTTTTCATTTTCAGAACACTAGATGATGGAGGGAAGAAAGCATTTGCTTCCAAGTGAAAAGCACACGGCACCGCTGCGTGTTTTGTTCTGGTCTGTTGTTTATTTTTTGTTCTGCTCATTAGATCCAGCAATGTAGACAACCAGGCTTTCTGTTCCTCTTCTGTACTGGGCAGGCCAGACCAACACCATCATCCTCAGCATGGCTTCTCACTCGGGGTGCTGATAGGAATCTGCCTCACAGATTCCTATCACTGTTCCTATTCACTTCAGATCCTAAGCAGGGAGAGTCAGAGGAGGGCCAAAAACCACACTGCTGCTTCCCTGGGCCTGTGGGGCCACCCTGCTGTAGATGCCAAACCTCCTTTCGCTTTCATCATTTGCATGATGAGTTCTGCAGAGATTAAAACCTCCCCTCAAAAGTCCAGACCTCTCCCTGCAGATAAAATTTGCAACTGCTGAGCTTTGTCGTACTTAATGCACCTTTGTGGGGCTCGGGGACGTTAGAAGGTAACCCCACCCTCAAGGCAGAGTTGGATAAATGCATCCTGCCAAGTGCTGAGGTGCTGTTTGCTGGAGGGGGAGAAATTCCAGCCTGGGAGTTCACTGCTGGCTATGGAGCTATGTGTGTGTGTGTGCACATAAAGCAGATGCAGGATTCATCCCCTGCTTTGCCTCACAAGCCTCTTGTGAAGATATTCCAACACAGGAGATGTGAATTTGCTAATTGGGCCGGTTGCAAAAGCTAGCAGAGTAGATGCTGAGCAAGGAACTTTCTGGTTTGGGGGTTTGGTTCCTCCCCCAGTAGCGAGGGAGTGGAGGGGGAGGCAGTGGCAGAGCCTGAACGAGGAACTCAATTCCCTGTAAATAACACAGCAGCTGCAGCATCTTCAGCACCGAGGCAGCCACTTGGAAAGCCGGTGGCGTTGCTCTCGCCCCAGACAAAGCGATTTCCCTTGCCGAGGTGCGAGCCCGCCGGTTTCCGTGGCGCGCCGGCAGCGGGCACCGCGTGTGAGAAGCTGAGCTTGAACAGATGCACTTGGTGCTGGCTGCCTGCCCACCGCTCAGGAGGAACAGTCCTTGTGGGCCATTTATCCCAGCCGTGGATCTGAGTAGCAGAAACTCCCGCGTTTTCAGCCGGAGAGAGAGAGAGAGAGAGACCCGTGCTGAGGAGCCGAGCGGAGCGTGACTCTGCCCGCGGGGAGTGACCAGGTCATCCGTGGGAGTCTGCCTGCTCTGTGCCCAGCGGCCCTAAATAAAGGGCCCCTGGAAGAGTTAACTTTTCCCGAGGGAGTTGTACCGTGTGTGTAAAAAGCCTGTGGGGTTTTATCTTTGTGTGTGCGCAGTGTCAGCCCCAAGCAAGTCTCTTGGGAGGAGGAGGCGGCGGCTGGCCCGAAACAGGTTTACCATTGACTCAGACGCCGTCTACACGAGCAGCCCCGAAAAAGAGCCCCAGCAGCCCACGCACGGGGGGGACACTGACCGCTGGGTCGAGGAACAGTTTGACCTCGCTCAGTACGAGGAGCAGGAGGACATCAAGGAGACGGACATCCTCAGCGACGACGACGAGTACTGCGAGGCCGTGCGGGGCGGCGCGGCCGAGCGGGACCTGCGGGAGCGGCTGCAGGCGGCCTCCATCGCGGGCCAGCCCTGCCGGGGGGACGCCCACGCCGCCAGGATGACCCAGCTCAAGAAGCAGGCGGCCCTGTCCGGCATCAACGGCGACGTGGAGGGGGGACACGGCGAGGAGGTCATCTGGGTCAGGCGCGAAGACTTTGTCCCCGGCAGGAAGCTCAACACGGAGCTCTAAGCCCCCCCCCCGCTGACCCTTCGCCCCACCTGGATCGCGTAGGTCTCCCCTTCCACCCCTCCCTCCCGCTCCCATGGAGAGCTGATCCCCATAGATTGCACACTTGCACACACCATTTCGGCAGCTGAATCGGTCCGAAGCCATGAGGCCACACTTTTTAGGCAACGTTTTGTCAAACGCTCAAAAAAACCGGGAACGGGTTAAAAGCTTGAGGTCCTGTCTTACGTTACCAAGGGCTTTCACACTATTTTATTTATTCTGGAGTAATCAGGGGCTGAAATTAAAAGTACGGGGAGAAAAAACATAATCACTGGAAAACAAATCACTCTGGATGTCTTAACCTACGTGCAGCGAACTAGCTTAAAACAAGAGCACAAGGACGGAGGGGTTTAGAGCCGTAAAAGCCGTCGGTCGTAGGTTCATCTCCTTCATGAGCAAACTGCCTTTTTAACCTGTACAGTTGCAGTATTCTTATTTTCTCTTTTTTCCCTCTTTAAATGTAAGAGAAATATACGTGTATTTTAGGAATGCGTGAGGAAAGGTTTGGGATTTATGTTGTGTTAAAAGTCCTCTCGGTCCGTGGCTGGTCTAATTTAATGTCAATGTTGGAAGCTCTAGTTTTACATGCTGTTATAAAGATGCCAAACTCTCTTAAAGAGATCCAAATTTAACACTTGAAGAAATATTTTTTTGTATTTTACCTGAGATGGCAGGGGCACAAAGGGATAAGAGTCTTACGGCGTTAGCGTAGCTCCACGTCTATAGGATATACAGGACTAGCTTTTTGCAGAGGGTTAGGAACGGTGGTTTTATATTAAAATATGAACTGGAAACTCTTATTTAGGTATAACTTTCTTGAGGAAAAGGATTATTGTATATGTTTGAGACTGGAGTTTAGTTAGATAATAAAAAGAATAATAAATAAAACGACACGACTGAATTGTGGTGGACCAAGCTGATCCGTGGTGGGACTTCTCTGGAGCCACAGATCCGTCTGGTCCACTCTCTCTGGCAGAGTTTGGGCTTAGGGGACAGGGAATTCATGGCCAAAAAACTGACCTCATCCACTCTCCTACCGTGGGTGAAACTAGTGTATTTTAATTCCTTTATAAAAGCTTTTTCACTGCAGTAGAGTACGAACAGGCTCTACACAAGCAAACCTTTAACATTTGAAATCTTTTATTTAAACATCTAAAACAGGGTAAAAATGATGTGACAAAAATCTCGTGGTTTTTAAGTAGACTTCCAAATGCGAAACACAAAATAGCACTTTTTTTTTTTTTTTTTTTAAGATTTATATAGCTTTTCCCATTGCAGTTTCACCTATAGGAAAAAAAAAAAAAAGGAAGATAATATGAAATTCTCTTTTTTTGTTTTGTTTTGTTGGTATCTATTGATGTTTGACACATTAGTAGGTACTTTGAAAACCTGAAATTTTATAATAGCTTTAGGATTATATTTTATAAAATCCACTCCGACTATATTTTAAAACATAACAAAAACTATCCCCCCACAAAATATCCATCACTTGTCTGTGTGTCCCACTTAGCATTCTCCCCTTGCCCTCACCCCCTCCCCTCCCTGGTTTCTGGTGCACTATACTTGACCTTATGAAAGCTTTCTCTATCAACTTTTTTGCTATATCTCCCGATTTTCTTTTCCTAAAAGCTTTAGAAGAGTTTCTATACCCTTTGTATGACCACAGCATTGTTTTATATCATCCACCTGTCAGTTGTGTCCCAGCGTGCTGGAGGAGCGGCGGTTTTTGCCCTGGGCTGTTCCCAGTGGATGCAGCCAGAGCTCAAATACTGGAAGGCTGGTACTGGGAAGGTACCGTGGCTCTTGTACATAAATGTCATGACATGTCTATGTCAAAGGTTCTTATATATTTCTTTTATAAGCTGAAAGAAGGTCTATTTTTATGTTTTTAGTTCTATGAATGGAACGTTGTAAATGCCTGTCAGAAATAAAATACTGGGAAAAAAAAAAATAAAAATTTGCGGGTATTTGCAGCTCATTTATCACACACCAGGCCTTACACAGAAGGTGTGACAGGGAGGAGCTCCTGCATCCCTCACCTGCCAGGTGCTGTAGCTCAGGAAGGAGCCCTCAGGTAAGGCTGAGCTCGTGTTTTCCCCAGAAGGAATTCCAGTTACACCGGAAGAACTCTCTCCATGGCCATTCCTTTGACCATCCCCTCTCCTCTTGGGGTGCTGGGGGTTGGTGTGTTGTGCAGCCTGAGCAGGAGCTTCCCAAGCCCCCCAGCTGAGACCCTGACTCCCACCACTTCTCCTTAGGGGGAACTAGGACTGCTGGTGTACGGGCAGGGGGGTTCTGTGCGTGGTTTCTGGCGGGCTGTCCCTCCAAGGTGGGCTGGTGGGCGTTAGGGAACCGTTTTTTTAGAAGACAAGGCATTGCCAGAGCTGTGAGAAGAGCCTTGCACAGCCCCTGGGTTTTGCTTGCAGTGGAGAACACTGACACCCTGTACCATGGAGATCTGGGAGGTGTTTTAACTCTGATTTTTCCAGCCAGTTGTTTTTTGTTGCCTCCTCCAGCAGACTTGCTCTCCTTGCACCCCCTCCAGGACAGGAAGGACTTTGTTAATGAGGTGTTGTCTCTGCAAATAACATGTCAAGGATGTGGCCCCGCCACAGCTCGTGTTCCTGCTCCCAGCCACTTGGGCAACTTGCTTTCCCTTTGATTTTATCCTCAGCAGTTGCTGAGGTGCTTCTGCTGAACACTGGACTTGTCTTTTTTGAATCCTTTCCCTCTGCATGTTGATTGTCAGCATGACTGTCAGCATGTCAGCACTGCTGAACGAGCCTTTTGGAAGCTTGCTCTGACTCTGCCTTATTCTGGGAGAGAAGTGGGGTGGAAGAAAGCCTTAACAAATTGCTTTCTCTTCGGCCACACCCTGTTCATAACACGTAGCCCCTCTGTGTTGTACATGGGCATGAGCCTGGGGGTTCTGCAAGGGTGAAATCCTGGAGCAGCCATAGGGCCTGGGTAAATTGTTCCCATTTTAAGCTTGGCAAATGAAGGAGGAATACATCCTGTGCAGGCCTGGGGTGCTGGTCGAAGGCTCACATGTTCAGCCGTGAGTCTGGTCAGTGTTTCCTCCTCGTTAATGTAAAGGAGTGATTAGTTGTGGTAAGGGATCGTTTCTTGTGGCAGACTAGTAAAGGGGGCAGAAAAGTCACAGCAGCTGGGATTTCTGCGCCCAGGACGTGCAGCTGTGGTGTCCAGCTTGCTTTCTCCTTCCAGTTCTTTGTTTCCAGTCGATTTAATAAGAGGGGGAGGGATGAACATGAATCAGGGAATAATTGTTACCGTTAAAATGGGGTACGGTGCACGGAGCAGTTCCTACAGCAGCGGCATCTTCCTGCAGCCATTTAATGTTTGCTACTTAGGGTAGGATTATTTTCAGCTTGTAATACCACCAGGCTAATCCAAAACCGTCAGGAAGCCAGTGAAGTGGTGAAATGAAGACAGGGGAGCGAGGGCATCAAGCAGAAAACAGCACACAGCTACAAGAGAAGGCACGCAAGAGGTGACAGAGTGACACGTGTATTCCAGCTTCAGATCTGAAATCCTTCCCGCTGCTTTGGCTTTCAAGCTCTGCCGCCACGAGCAGGAAACACAGAGGGAGACTTTCTCCTGCATGTGCTCCTGCAATCCCATGCACAGTTTGGAGAGGGGAATGCCAGTACCTTGTCTGGGGGGAATATGGTTTGAAACAAAATAAGTAACACGAGGAAATAATTAGAAATAGCAGATTGAAGGGGGGAAAAAAAAAAAAGGGAGCAAGAGGGCCTGAAATTAATTAATGTTTCAGGAACCAGATCAAAGCAGGAAACTGAGATTCATAAATCTGCAGAGGGGTGTGAATAGAATATTAAACATGTGCTAGGCTGCCTGTGGAAGGAGAGTGGGCTCCCAATCAGCACCTGGGGTGCTCAGAGTGGGGAAAGGAGGAAGCCAAACTCTTCTCCACACAGCTCCACGTTCCTAAACAAGTGCTGGATGGACCTTTTGCACTAGCTGTGCCTACAAGAATCGCGGGCAGCAGCTGCTCTCCTGCTGCCCCGCGTTAATTCAGTGGCCATAGGGAACGCTTTGCCCGTGGACAACCGCGTTGGGAACACGAAGGGCCAGCACAGACACAGGGGCTGAACAGGATCAGCTGCTGCCAGGGCCAGAGAGTATCATCTGGCACTACATTTTAAACCCAATTCCAGCAGCTTTCCCCTTCAGGAAAAGAGCCCTTGGCTCTCTCTCCCTGCCCCTCCTGGCGCGCCCCTGCCCTCTGGTCCCGCAGCATCCCTGCCCCCGAGTGCCTGGGCTCCCCGGGCAGGGGGATGAGGAGCTGTTTCAGCAGCTCCTGCCCCCACTCCAGGTGCTTTCCCCGGGTTATTCTGAGCACTCTCCGCTGCCAAAACCTCTGGGCTGCATCTCCGTTCCAGCCGCGGCCAGCGGGGGTCCCTCTTCCCCCGCAAATCCCGCCGCGCTCCCGGGCTTCGGCTCCCTCCAAAACAGCGGATTTCCACCGGAATGGAGCGAAGAAACAGCAAACCAATCCCAGGCAGGCGCGCTCCGGAGGCAGCATCCTCATCCTCTGGAGGCAGCATCCTCATCCTCTGGAGGCATCCCGTGCCGCCCGAGCTGGGGTTTGCGTCATTCCATTAGAGAAAGTAATTTCCAGGGATAGGCTCAGATTCACTTCGTCTCAGCGGAGATTAAACCCCCTTAATTAACTCCTCAAGAGGTATTAGGGGAGCTGAGTAACTTCGCGGTTGTTTAAGCACTGCTGAGGCTGGGAGTGATGCTCCTGACCAGGGGGTTCTCCTCTGGTGGAGGAAGGAGGATTCTCCCTCAGTCTTTTCTGCTGTTTTGTACTCCAGAGGGACCCCACGATCCCATCAAGGATTTAGGAAGGAGGGACGGGACGGGGATAACACCTCCTAACAGGTAAAAGGGTCAAAGCCATCCGGCTGCTCTTCACCATTGCCTTGTGCCAGTGCTTCAGGCAGCAGGCAAATACTGTACAAAGAAGAAACAGGTTTTGTACTTGGAAATCTTGAAAGATTTCCACCTTGATCTCCACCTCCCCCGTTGCTTTTGCAGGATCTGCAGGGCACTGTGGGATCCAGAAGCCTCTCATCTCACCCAGACCATTTACAGGTCACTAAAGTACCAGCCTGTTAGTTGAATTACACACTGGAATACTCCAGGAAAAGGAGAGAAAGACAGCAGAAAACCCCAAACAGACAAAACAAAACCCACGTTATTTGAAAACAGAAGAAGATCGAGTCCTCTGCCCCCTTTAAACCTCCCAAAGCATGAGAAAGCAAGAGGCTGGTAGCGAAAATGTTTTAAAATGACCCTCGTTTTCCTGCCTCCTGTTTAAAAAGCAGAGTAAGAGCTGTTGTTAAAGTAACACTGATTGTGTGGGGCTAAAGTTTGCATTTTGAAGGCAGTGGCTGGGTCTCGGAAGCTTCACCCCAGCCTGGTACAGACGAGTTTGAGCTGTGGGCTCAGCTCTCTGCATTTCCCCAGGGAGCTGCAGGAGTGAATTTCCAGGCAATGCAGGGACAGGGTCATAATTGGCATTATTTCTGTGGGTGGCCCAAAAAGCTGTTCCAGTGTGTTGGGGCAGGAGCAGGGGGTTGGTTTGTGTTAAAAATGTAACTTTTTTGCTTTGTTTAGGAAGAATGCATAGTTTGTGTACAGCAGATTTAATACACTGGGCAAGTAAGTGGAAAAACAAAATAAAGGGACAGTAGGGACCATTTCTTTTTAAGGGAGCCCCTGTACAAATACCTTGTAAATAGGAGAGCACTACCTCAGACAGACTGGCTTTGACCATGAAATGATTTCAAGCAACCTCTTGACAAGATTTTGCAGCTGATTGCAGCGAGAACAGTTTAGGAAACACTGCAAAATCTCAGAGACCGAGGATTGAAGAATTCCAGGTAATTGCAGGAATGTTCCCAACCGGAGATGGAAGATCCCTGGCCAGTCACCTCAGTTCAGCTGGGTGAGCCAGGACATCTTCCCAGGGCCATTCCTAAGTGCTTTGAGTGGAATATTTCCCCAAAGGCAGTAATTCTGTTTGCAGAGATCCGGGTTCCTCTCCGTGCCTGTGTGTGCAGGCAACATCTGGTTCCCACTGGAATAGCATCTCATTAACCAGATCAGCAAAACAGCTTTCACAACAACTGTGGTGCTGACAGCTTCTGTGCTACCCCTAAAACCCAGAGAAGGGACTGACTTCCTGAAGCTGATACAGCAGGGGAGGTCTGTGGGAGCGTGGAAACAGCCACTCCAAAAAATGCCATGGCTGATATGCTGGGGGGGGAAAGGGAGGGGGAAAGAGCACCCACCTAATAAATGAGGAAGCTTTGGCTGTTAAATTAAAACTGTAACAAAACCGAAGGGACCGCAGAATTTACCCACCCGGGAATTCAGCTCTGGAGGTTCTGCCCACTCTGGCCTCAGCCCAGCAGGGCCCCTCTGAGCACGGAGATAAACGCAGAGTTATTGATCTCGCAGGGATCACTTGCCATCCTAAAGGTAAGCACACGCATGAGCTGACTTAGAAATTCAGCTCACAGCTGTGGCTCACAAGCTCCTCTGAAACAATGCTTGGCCACAGCAGAGGGCCAAATCACACACCAACCAAGACACTTTATTTTCCAGCAGAAAAGGGTAAGGGTGGGGAGGGGGGGGGGGGGGGAAGGTTTTCTAAAAAAAAATGAACGAAACAGCTGGATATTGCTTAATCACTGTAGGCATAAAGGGAAGAAAAATTGCTAATCAGGAGTCTATTGATAGGCACACAATTCACAATCATTCCATCTGCATCGTGTGGAGCTGCACTGGTGCCTGTTAGGCAGTGTAAGGGGAAAAAAAACTCACTGCTGGGAGTTTGGAAAGGAAACGTGGGCATGCTCTCTCTGAAGGAGAGTTAGATGTGATGGAGTA